TTATGTTTATGTTATGTAATAAAAGATAATGTGCAAATTCGTTATGTAGTGGCCTTTTGAGGAAAGAACCACAATGGACACACATGTGGTTTTCCAACCATTATTCAACTTACTATAGCAATCTCTTTCTCTGCCATGATTCCAATATGCACGTAGTAATACTCGGTACATAATTTGAACGATGTGTTTGTCTCATTGCCGGAACAAAATTTTTTTTATTAAATCCTTACTAATATTATAAATGGGAAAGTGAGTTTCTTTGTTTGTTCCACTTTCACGCCGTAACTACTAAACCGATTGCTTTGAAATTTCGCAGACGTAAAGTTAGAAGTCTGGATTAAATAATAGGGTACTTATTATCCCGGAAAAAAATGTATATTATCGAGGGAAAACGAAATTACTGGTATATATGGCGCTGTGTGTATTGGTATATGTCACATAGGCTACTTTTTATCCTTTTGTGACGCGAGCGAAGCCGCGGGTAAAAGCTAGTTTTTCCTAAAAAGTACAACAACTGCTATATAAATATACTAGCTAGGAATAAAATGCATATGTGTTATTCAGACTATAATCTATCCATGTTTTAAACTTTAACCCAATCCCTTTAGCAGTTTTGACGTGATTAAGCATCAAACGTACACGCAAATTCACAAAACGATACCGCGAATGGCTCAATATATCAGCTTTGGTTCCTTAGATCTTACTCAGTTATTTGGATAACGGTGCTAATTCTAGAGCTAATACATGCAATCAAACTTTCGCAGTTGTAGTATTAGTAAGAAGTAAGATTAATGTAACACCAATTCATCGCCAATAATGTGTTTGCTTTGTCGTATTTATCATTATTTTTAAAACCCGCTGTCACGTAAGACTTCATATTTTCCCTTCACCATAATTTCGTTTAGGTAGGTCGAGGTGCACATTACGGCACTTAATGCCACTGTACGATGTAACACCCACCACCCACTCTCAGTGGAGAGTGGGTGGTTGGTATTTATAAAATAGTAATGGGGTATTCATAACGTAGTATGTAATAGGGGCTGAGCCTAGCGCCTTATACCGGTCACATTTCCAGACTCCGTGCTACTATTGAGATTTTTTGAAAAAACCTCGTAATACTTTGCCCGACCCGGGAATTGAACTCGAGACCCATTGCCCGGCAATCGCAGTTGCGACCACTCAGCCCACGAGGCAGTCCATAACTATTTTCACCTTACAATTTATTCCAGCACCACTGCCGTAAGTGTGGATCTGTGGTATGTGGCCCGTGTTCGTCCAAGCGATACATTCTCCGCGGACAGAGCGACAAGCCGCTCCGGGTGTGTCTGCAGTGCTACGACGAACTCAACCGGGAGCGCGCCCGCCCCACCCAGCCACAGCCTGCTAATATCACGCCCGGTTAGTTAACATACATGTTTTACTTTAATAATACCTTCTGATTTATTGCGTTGCGGAATCCAAGACCTTCATGTTCCTGGGAGGCGCCGGAATTCAGTGTTTCGGTGTTCTCATGGTTGTATCCACTGTAGATCCTGGCTTATAGGTGTTGCAGCGGATTTGGGAGGTCGTGGTGAGCATGGCCCAAGGAAAAACATTCACTTGTCATATTTTGGGATTCTTGGGTATAATATTGTGACTCCTGACTTCCCTATAGTATTTTTAAACTGTTCTTTATGACAGTGATAAATGTATTCTTAAAAATGGTTATCATACAATGATTGTGTAAATAATATTTATATACTAAAGATAAAGAAGGTAAGTTTCAGATAAAGCAAGATAGCTGACCTTCGATTTAATCGGCCAAAATGACATAATACAATAATGCATCTGCATGCCGAATCTAGAATGTACTAAGTTCTCGAAATTGAATACTAAGTACATCTTTTATTACATAGTGACTCATAATGTAACCGACGTACAGTGAGTGTCATATGAATTATCCTCCATTTCCGTCCATTTTAAACAAACAATATATCGAATAACAAGTATAAAATACTGAAATTCTTTCTAAATATATTCCTAGTACCGTTATCACCAAAACTAACTTAATTTAAAGGTTTATTTACTCTCGTATAACTGTCGATTAGATAAACCCATAGATAAGTTATCTACACCCTAATTTTAATCGAAATTTGTCGCCAATGTAATCTGTACAAACGTTACGTAGGTATTTCATATTTCCGGATTATTAAATACTAGTGGTTTCGAAAATATGGCCGAGCAGCTCTAGTTGATGACCTATGAATAAACATGGCTGTACTTTTAATTTAATTGCAGTTGAAATTAATGACCGGTCCCAATCGGAAATATGTTTGATAAAGATCGATAGCTGATTATTTAAATGTGGGAGAGCAATGCTTCGGCACGAATGGGCCGGCTCGAATGGAGTGATACCACGGCCTCACAGAAAACCGACGTGAAACAATGCAAGCGTTGTTTCATGACGTGGTTGAGGTTGCTGGTGGCCCAATTTTCCCCTCCCCGATCACTGAATCCCAAACAATCCTCAAATTCCTAACCCCAAAAGGCTGGCCACGCACTTGTAACGCCTCTGGTGTCAACGGGTGCTTACCATCAGGTGATCCGTCGGCTTATCCCATAAAAAATGTACGGAGTTTCTGTCATAAACAGAAATAGATCCAAAGGTTTTAGATTTAGAATTGGTTATTAGTTTCGACCCTTATTCATTCCTGTCGTAGCTTATATGTGACGTTTTTAAAATTAAATTATGACAGTCATAGTAGTCGTAGAATATTCCCCTACAACAATGTTCAGGGAAAACCCTCTTTTATTTTAACTGTTTTATCCTCCTTTCCTGTTATTGCGAGCAAATAATATCAATTTCAATTTACGCCTACTTAACAAATTAATACGTTTTAAAATCTGCATAATTGCAAACTCTTAAGGTTGAAAATTGAATAAATCCGTTTAAGAAATTCAGGACAATGGGACCGAATTTTACCTGCATCGAAAAACTGGCATATTGGCCCTGATCTTCTTTATTAGAAGTTAATCAACGATTTTGTATGTTTTTCAGTAAAAGACACGGCTGGTTCTGGTGGAGATTCTTCAGCTGATGAGGATAGCGATGATGATGACGACCGCGTCACTGCCGAGGAGAAACACGATGAGGTCAGTCCTTACTCCTTATACATAAATAGTAGTAGATTTCACGGATTGTATGGGGTACAGATATCTTACAAAAATGGCCACTATAATTTTCATTATGCATTCGTTTAGAAAGTCAGACAAGTTATTTACTGTGTTCAACCATAATCGTTACTGTTAGACTTAACATTTCTTTTTATTGCCCATATCTAATTTTATGATTAGTAAAATCAATTTTACGTAAAATACATCACTATCCGGACTTACAAACCGCAGAAAGTTAACGGGTTGCCGGGACTCTGGCTCGAAGGCAGGTGTAGGAACGGGGTCGTCTTTAGTCAGTAAGAGTCTGACACTCCCTCCCGCCTCACCCAGGCGGGAGAAGTCATTTGATGATTTTTTTTCCCCCCTAAAAAATACTAAAGATAAAGTATCTTTGTACGTTATTTACTAACCTATACCTAACTACACATGTAACATCAAAGTGCACTACTGTACTATGGATCCCCTTTAAAAAGAGTGGATTACTAAAATCTCGTCGCTTGGCAGATAGCTTATGAGCTATCTGCCAAGCCATATGGTATGCCATACGAAACCCGCGGGACTTGCTCTTCCCGCGGGTGATGACAAATGTATGTTTTTCTGACGTCCCTACACAGTGAGTTATCCTATTAAAATGATATCATAGACTAACACAGTGGTGACTAGACTATTATGTACAATTCTAGACAACACTTATATGACTTCGTGATTATCCAGATTAACAACGGAGTTCGTGTCATTAGGTGATACCAAATTAGGTACAAAAGTATCTTTTCAATTTTGTAAGTCCAGATAACTATATATTTAGCATTATAACATTGATTTAAGTAATCATAAAATTTTGTTATGGACTATAAAAAGTATGTTATGCTTTTATAATAACTATCGTGAGACATACTAAATTAACTAAAATCGCGGGTCACTCACGTGAATATACTGAGAAAAGCTCTACTAGTTTCGAACCACAGAGGGATTCTTCCTCATGAGCAGCGAGCGTGCCCGGTCGCGGCAACGTTGCGCAGCTCACTAAATCAGTATATTCACGTGAGTAACCCGCGTTTTTACTTAATTTAGTGTAATGTTATGTCTAATAGTAACGATTATATGGTTCACCACAATAAATAAATTGTTTGAAATTTTAAAATCACTACATAGTATAAAACAAAGTCGGTATCCGCCGTCTGTCTGTCCCTATGTATGCGTAGATGTTTAAAACCGCGCAACGGATTTTGATGCGGTTTTTTAATAAATAGTGATTCTTAAGGAAGGTTTATATCATGTATAATACATACATATTGCACCTGCGCGAAGCTGGGGCGGGTCGCTATAATGCATAATGAAAATTGAAAGTGGCCATACATTTTGAAAAGATCTGTTTTATTTTAGTTTTACATTTTCATTTAAATTTTGCCATTGAATCTTTAAGTTAGGTGTATTTCAGCTCTTTTGAGCTTTGGGGTTGCCTTCTGCACTGCAGCCTTGCGTTCTATTTTAGTATATTTATTTATTATTTGCTATATATTTATGGGATAGTCAATAAACCTGGAATTATGGTATGGGACTTGTAACACATAGCCTAAAGCCTAAATATGCTAAGCTTTAAGTACTTTGAAGAATAGTATTATATTATAAGCAGTATAGTAGGGGAGCCCACGATGCTAAATTGGGATTTACTTGAGCGTCCTTGGGACCTACTGGATTTTGAAGATATGCTGATAGAAAGAAGAAATGGTTTAGTGACAATTTCTTCCACCAGTGGGGGAAGGGGGAATCTACAGATCTTTGAAATTGTTAAGCGTAACTTTTGTTCTAATGGTCGAGCGTGTCAGATATTGATAATGTACATGTTCCATGTGTATTTAATAATAAAAAACTCTTAATCTGCCAGTTTGCATGGTGGGGTTGAATGTTCTGGAGAGTACAAACGGGAACCCTTCAACATCCCCCCACTCTTGCAAATCAAGTTGGAATGGGCAGATTTTTTAAACGCACTTCCTTTAGCACGGTATTGACCTACCTTCCCTTAATCTGACGAAACTGACTTTATTTAGTCAGACTTTTTTTTTAATTTTCAGTCCTCCCTTCTAATCAGATCGAATATATGTTGGGTATATTCAACATGACACTAGGTTTTCCTCATATGTTAATCTGACGCGCTCGAGTAACTACCGAAGTCCCTTCATGGGCTCCCCTACTAGTATATTTATAAGAATGAAATACCGTTGAAAGCAGTAATATTGAACTTTGGTAGAAGTCGATTGGTCGCCAGCGTGACATTCGAGCGAGTTCGATCCCCTAATTATGATAAATATTAACTTCCTTACAATAAGAGAATCAACATAACTATTGGAACGAGTGTCACCTCAACCTCTTCAAGAAAGAGATCACAGTACCAACAGTATGTTATTTATTTCTAGGGATTTACAAGTTATAACGGTGTCAAAAATGGATATGGAAATAGAGTCACCACAGTATAGTACAGAATGAGATTGTGTAAGTGTAGAGAATCCTATAGGCGTTTTGTTCATGCTTCACAACTTACAAGTTACGGCCACATTCAATTAACTGTCTAATTGCACATTTTATTACTAGAAACATATTTATTAAATAAAATGCCATGATGCCCCGAAGATTATGGCGCACGCTTCGAAACCTGGCCAGCACCAATGTGACTTGCCGAGTTTCATGTAATTTCTAAGATTATTTAGACACCACTGACATACGATGAAGAAAAACATCGTGAGGAAACCTGGATAATTTCAAATTATAAGTTTCAACTCGACAATACGTCTGGAGCAAGCGTGGTGATTAAAGTTCGTTCCTTCTCAAAATCTTTTCTGCTTCAATCTCATATTATATTAAAATTATTTTTTTAGTAAAACAATATGCGAATAGACAGGTTATTGACATTGGTCGATTATGGTTGAGTTTGATGTGCTGTTAATCACGTTCACAAGTCCTCGTCCTTCATTGGAAATAGCTAGTTATGTACCTACATCAGTTTACGTAAGCGCAGTCATCGCAGCAATGTATAAGTACTGTGATTTTTTGAAACATACGTTCCAAAATAGACGTTTGCTTGTTCAGTTTCATCTTCTAGTTGTGTCAGGCTACATATACAAAAGTCCTTAAAATGTATTCGTATTTCAATCAATTTTAAATAAAATAAAGTAAAAATAGTTTTTATTCGACATATATCGTGTTACAACTTAGTTTTCTAGAAAACAAACCAGTTTATTCTTAACAATCTTTTTGTTTTTAACTTAGAACTAGATTTACGAATTGATCAAGCAAATATTATTAAAAAAGAAACACATAGATACAAAAAATAAACTATAAAATGCATTTCTGTCGCTCTAAAACATATCTTAATCTTACGTACATATGTTTTAGTTTGCCCTGTCCGTTACATACCAACATTTTGTCCTGTGTGGTTCTTCATATTTTGTTTGAGTTTGGGTTTACTTCATGTCAATAGATTTTTTCACTAATTCGTTTGTCGTGTTGGTTTTTTTACTCATCCATAGTGTTTGTTATCATTTTTAAGCTAAAAGCGTAATTTATATTGAGGTAATATTTGATATTTAGCACTTCGGCGCACTTTATAATCAAAGAATTATTATTATCAAACAGTTATTGGTAATAGCAATGTCATATTATAACCACGAAATAATTAAGTCACTAATTTTTTATATAAAGCACATGAGAATAAGGCCATAGTCTTATGTACATAGTATGTGACGTTTGTGCACTTTAAAATTCTTCAAAACTTATACTTAAATAAGAACAACAAATATTGGTTCAGTTCAAGGAAAATCTTAACCTAATATTGTACTGTTATAATACAAAACATGTTGAGGCCATTTCATTGTAAAATAATACAAGTACTTGAAGTAAAGAAGTGCGCTATACTTACATTCAAAGATATATCTATTTGTTAATGTTAAATTCTTTTAAACTGAAGAGTGGCTTGTATGTTCGCTCTACTGAGCAGTAGCTTACTAGATATGAGCATTGCTAGCCCAAGTTTTAACTTGAATACCATATTTTTGAACTCATAGCCATAGTTTAGTTTACGATTTACAGTATGGAACATTTATAGTATAGAATAGTTCACGTATTTGCTCTATTACTATATAATACACATGCATAATTTAATTTTCAGCCAAAGTTCTATGGTGACAGTGATAAGACTGAAGAGACCAACAACCATTCGTCCAAGGATTCCGCTAAGTGAAAATCTTATTCAAGAGACCACTGTCCGTCAAATAATAATAACAAACAATATATAATATAAACACTTCATCTATTGGATCAGAGTCTTAACCCTGCAATAATATAACCTTTATTTCCTAGGTACTATGGCTCAATTTAGACCCTGATCTATAAAACTCCCTATGTCTAATTTAAAAGACTACTTTGTACATTCGATTTCATAACGTCCTTCCAATCACTTCGTGAACGGGATCAATTAATTAGACTTGTGAGTATTGGTATCTGTGATCTATTTAGAATTTCTTCCGAAATTTAATCAGGCAGCCTAATCAACTGACTTCATAAAGTAGGTTAGTATGAAAAAATATTATTGATGTTAGTAACCCAGTTGCCTTTTGCTACTAGGGATTAAAATCGATTATTGCAATTAACTATTTGAACTACGATTTCCATGAAAATAGTATTAATACTGTGTAAAGTAAATAATTAAAATTAATTTAAAAATTCGTAAAACGATCGTGTGACGCGATTGAAACCCAATATTTGTTTGGACGGTCTCCGATTTTACCACAATGGCCTTCGAATTTTTTACCTTAGGAAGAATTTGCTAGAAAAAAATCCTGTATCATGGATTACTTTAGAGAATCGTAAACTTTTATACAACATACCTGACTGTGGTCAATGATTTTAAGAACGAATAAAATTACTAGATGTTTCGCTGGACTTGAACAGCTTTAAAGTTAAAACCGCTCAAAAGTGAACTGAGGTGGAGTTTTTTGTTTAGTATAAAATCATATTTATTATTTGATAGTAAGACATCATGGTTATAAGACGTTTTTAACAATATTTAGGCTTAGTCATGTTATGTCAACATATTAATATTTACATACGTTATGTTAAGGTTATTTTATTGTAAACTTTATTACGGTCTTATTATGTTTGCTTATTGATTGTCGCTATTTCTGTAGTGAAGAAAGCAAGTTTGAATAAGTTTCTATGAGTTCTTGAAGAGCTCTGGTGCTTGCTTTGTATGTCTCTTTAGAGATATTGTCAATTTAAAATTATTATAACTTAACCTCTGATGAGATGAATATAAAATGGTAACTTAAATGCAGTATTTAGAATCAAATGCAATCCTAATCCAATAAAACATTCGAATTAACTTGAAGAAGGGTCATTACAAGGCATATTGAACCTTAACATTTGTTTCAGTGTGTTCAGCAAAATCTCAGGGCCCTGAATGTAATCTAAAGTCCTTTTTTAAATAGCTACGCTTGATAACATAGAATTTATAGTGAAGTCATGTATGAAAATGTTCCTTCCATTCTTGATAACTTGCTTTCTTTTTATCTACTTACGGCGGCAAAACGTTGTAAGAATTATAAAGATTGGGATACTTAGCCGCATCTTGGAAATGTATTAAGGTACAAATATTTGCATTTTGTCCAACGTTAGTATATTCTCTACATTTCTTAGCGGTCTACAATTTTTATAAGATACACAGTAAAGGCCTAGAATTTATACTAAAAGGGAAATTGGGGAATAACATTTTTTTATGTAATTGTTGTTTATTTAAATTGTTTAACCTTCGCTTGTTTTTCTATGCAAGTTTTGTACGTGCCCGTACAGGTATAAAAGACAAAATTATACTCGAAATCTACAACCGTGTGATGTTTGCGTCCACTATGCAAGGATGTTCTAACATTCGTTGCATAACATCTAAGTCGCATCACATTTCATTAAAATGTATACAATCCAAACTAATTATAGATTTGTATGTATATCAGAGTTCTAGTATATAAGAGGTGCATTAAGTTTGTTTCAGTGCGAAACACGGTTTTTATGTTTAGGTATTTAACACGAAGCTTGCAACACCATCTGTAACGTTAAGCGATTCGTAAAGAAATTATTTATTAATTTAACATAGGCCTAAATGTTAAACGATTTACACAAGTTGTGTTAATTCCCGTAATACTAGTAAGTGAAAATTATGTTAATAAGATATTGTTTAATTTTCAGTTGACAAATATAATATTTTTTAAAATTATTGGTTTTTATTTTCAATAGCACGTAATGTTACCTCTCCCTAATCCTAAACCTAATTTCAAAGGGGTGCAGTAGAATGTAATATATAGTTAAATAATATCCAATGAAATTAAGCTAGTTACATGACATTCTGCCCATCATCCTTTACTAATTTTGAACTTTGTGAAAAGATTTTGAACCTTATTGAACCTTAAAAAGCATTAAATCTTAATAAAAACTTCAATACAGAATCTAACAGTTCCAATAATCAGTTGCAACACGTCACCAAGGACGTCGAAAAAAAGGCGGACGCATGTCTCTTAGAAACTACTGAAGCACTAAAATGTCAATGGAATATTTATGTCGTGTACTTGCAACACCGTAATGTATGAAGTGTCTAATATATTGACTGCACGGTTGGCGCGGTGGCTGGGCAACTGACTGCCGCGCAACGTGTCGCTGGTTCGATTCCACCACGGAACAACGCTGTGTGATCCATAAATTGTTCTGCCGGGTCTGGGTGTGATGTATATGTGAACTTGTATGTTTGTAAACGCACCCACGACACAGGAGAAAATCCTAGAGTGGGGCAACGTTTGAAAAATAAAATGACGGGCCATGTCACGCGATAGGTGTTCTCCGTGTCAATGTGTGTGTATTTTACGTGTAAGTATTTAGTAGTCAGTTGCCACAGTCATTATTTCAAGAGACTAGCTGTTTTAATGTCCTTGATCATAACATAGTGAAGTGCATCAAAAAGTAGGTGGACGAGATATTGATAACGAATGAAATTTGACTATCAATGAAAACGTACTAATTTGACAACAACAGTAGTAAAAATGGGTAATCATACTACTCTTACTTTAGGTGTTATGTGTGTCTGACGGATCACTCGAATGAATATTCATTCCAGTGAAAGTTTTATCTATCTTTCATTCTATGTTCCGACGACTTTAGTTTAATGATAAAGAAATGAACCTTCAAAAAATTTGAAATGTAATTAAATTGTCATTGAGTGATGTCGTGCGTCGCGTAATCAGTTTAATTTGTGATCACCTAATTAAAGCCGAGTGAACGTCTTTCTGTGTGTGGACAGTTCATTTTTTGTTCAATCGGAGTGGGAATGAATGCTGCCGAATGGAAATCCAACATCGTTGGATCGGTTTACTTATTCATTAATTATTATTCATTCTACATCCTTGTTGCATTCTCATGTTCAGACGTATCATTTTGAATGAATGATAAAAATGAACCGTCTGATATTTCCTCTACTTCTGTAGTCCATCCGTTCCGTAGTCCAAGATAGTAAGTAGTGGGCAGGAGCCTACTTTTTTATGGACTTACTATCTTATGAACTTCTGGTACGTCGGAACGAATATGATATATTTTTGATGGCATCTGATTAGAGGTACAGAATAAGATTATCTTTTAGTACAATTAGTTTTTAGTATAAAATTTAAATTTTATCGATAAATTCAGTTCACACGAATAGTGTTCAAGTGTCATCCGTACTATGTGACAAAGTGTTTAAAAATAAACAGGTCAGCGAAATAATAACACCAATTTGTCCGTCAAACATTTATTTTCCAAAAAGACATACAATACGTATCTCGCTTACAGCAGTCTTTCCTATCCTCATACATTTCATCACAGCTCGAACCAGTACAATCATTTTTTATATTTTTCAAGTCTTTCTTATATTTTCGTTACACTTACTTATTCTAATCGCGACATAATTATATTAATGACTGATTTCAATAATTGAAAAGAGAAATTACAAAATGGTATCGGATACATTGATACTGATTTAACTCGTCGAGTACCGGTTTTGCAGACACAATTATAGAACAATAGCTTGCGGTCACCGGTGACCGCTTGGTATTTGACAGTTTAATGAATATTTCTGAATCTACACACTACAATTACGGAGAGAAAAAATACAAATATGATTTTTAAAATACGACAATAATTGTACGTTTCTACTACAGATACACGTTTCTATTGAAACTACTTTGTGATTACACATAAATATAATGAAACATCAAAAATGTTATACGGTGTGATCCATAAAACATTGAGCAATTTCTGCGATTGGTTAAATAGACACCTATATCTTACTGCCGCCCATCCAATGGGATAAAGGCGAGCATATTGTATACATATATTAATAATCTTATTAGATCTAAAGCAGAGTAGCAACGAGTAGATTACTTTTGTCACCACCGCTGATCATCCCACGAGAGTCGACTTTAACATAGACTTGGCAGCAACGTTCTCCGATAAATCGAAACGAGACCGCATTCTGATTGGTTGGTTCATTCGATCCGACCAATAAGGGGGTTTACTCTTGAATCTAATTCCGATCGATCGACATTGGTATTGTAAATTTTCGTACTCTTGAATTGCGACACTAGCGCCCATTGCATCCGTATTGCGTGAATATTTAATAAACTAAATGGTATTGAGTTTGGCTGTACATTCCGTACTCTGAATGGATTGTATAGTTTTGACATTGAATAATTATTGAGATTTTATTAGAGATATTGAGATTGGTTTCAAGAATAAGCACCCAGAACGCCGAACGCGTAATCGTTTCAATTACTTAAAAAGTAAAACAAAATCGTACTAAGCTATCTGATGCCTGAATACAGAAAGGCAACTCAATTTGAAGTTGTACTTATATAGTGCCATTTCTGTCATTTTACAAAGAATTTGAAGAGACTAACTATACTTAAGCGCGATTAAAAATTTACTGGCTTTTGAGTATTTGGATGTGACTGTTTTAGGGTGCGATCTCCAACCCGTTTTCCAAGACCGAAGATAATGACTTTTTTTTAAAGGGGGAAAATCATCGAATCACTGCTCCCACCTGGGTGAGGCGGGAGGTAGTGTCAGACTCTTACTGACTAAAACCCACCCCATTCCTTCTCCTGCACTTCGAGCCGGAGCCTCGGTAACCCGTTAGGTTCTCCGCGACGAAGATAATGACTAGCTCGTCTTCTATAGAGCCATAGTCTAACAGTAGACTCTCATGGGATAATGTTGATAATTATGACGATTATATTATCTAACTTAATACTAGTTTAATTTGCGGTATTAGCGGCCAATTCAAACCATTGCCGGAGGGCGTCGCCCAGTACTGTTGGTAACGCTGACATATCGCGAAGTATCAAATAGAATGGGAACGGGAATGTGTCCAAGTACGAGACGAAGCCGGTAAGAGCGTTCGTTGTTGGGTCCAGTAACGGCCGTCTGATGTCCATTATGGAGTCCTGGAAAAGAATGGACTGGTTAGTACTATGTTTATGGAATAAGATAGATTATTCTGTTTATTTTACTAAAGTTACAGTTGTTCTACATAGAGCAACAAAAAACACGACCAATTGCATTAATTTGATGCCATTTCTCACGTCGCGTCGTGAACAAGAACAAAGCTTAATTTGTACTAAAGCTAGTCTAGTGTATTGAAGTCGGTTATTACCTTATTATCAGGATTATCGATGATGACGTATACCAAGAATATTCCTTGCTGCCTGGCCCGACGTACTGCCTGCATCACCCTGGTTTCTCCCTCAGAGAATATTCCCCGACCATCGCTGACGATGACCAACAACTTGGCATTAACAGCATCGCTCTTCATCGTTTGCTCCTCAAACATAACGGTGCAGAAATCAAGCAATTGTGCGATCTTAGTCTTAGTTTGTTCAAAGCGCAACTGTTCTAGAATCTTCGAACCGGAATGTTCGGAAAATTGCTCCGTAAATGGATGGAGTAGGTTCGGTTTTTCACCGAAACTCAGGACGGCTAAGTCACCGGATTCGAGGAGGTTCAACGCCTGAAAATTAAAAACAAAACAGAACAATTAAAATTATGTTGACAATTCAATAGTTTTACTCGACTTTGAAATTCTAAAGTCTATGGTCTACGCATCGTTCAAATCTATTTTTTCAAATGGTTCATCTTTTTGTCAATAAGGCAGAAAACTTCAGAAAATATACACATTAAGAACTATCACGACCAAATTATCCCGAAAATACCTAAAAATATTAATTTAAGTTGTTAATTTAATCTAATTTTACCTGTGAGACAAGAGCAAGACTTTCAAAAGCGAGTTCCTTGCTCCTATTATCGGACATGGAGCTGGAATCGTCCACGGCTATAGCGATCTTGTATTCACGTTTAGCTGGTTTAGTGCGACGGAGCCAAATGCGGTCCTTTCTGAAGTGGGACGCTATGTACGGGATCACACGACGCATGTTGATTGAGCGACCTGTTCTGAAGTCACCTGGAATGCGAAATTGTAAATATAACAAGTATTGTGATGTAAATGACATTCTTAAATTTTGTTATGGTGGGGTTAAAATACTTATATGGCTTGAATGAAAAGGTAGGATATGTTGTGCAGTACACTCGCTCAAATAAACATTTTATATCTCTACCTATGCCATAGTCAGCATTGAGTCTGTCAAATTTAGCAGAATTTCCCGCTTTTCGAGCTCAGATTTCTATTTTGAATGATGATATAATGAAGCTTAGATTTTTCTTAATTCCCAATAATTATTATTGGTTCGTGTTCTTTAAACATCTACATTACAAGCACATTATAACATGTAAAGTCAAATTTTAATAAAATTTTACTTTAAGGTTCACTTCTAGCATCACATCTAATAAAGTTCTAAAACATACCAGCTTTCCTCGACCTGCCAGTAGGCTCAAGCACCAGTCTCAGTCTCTCACACAGAGCCCTGGCGGCGGCCGAAGAGTCTCTCCACAAGGACCGCCACACTGGCACGGTTCCCTGAGACCGCGAGGGACCGCTGGCCAGCCACTGACGGATGCTCATATACTCGTCCACAGATAAATCGTCCGCGTAGCTGTGGCTTTCGTTTAACCTGTAGGGGAATAGTAGAATTAAGGCGTGAAGGAATTTAAGGTGAAAAAATGAACTAACCCCCGAATACTGAAAGGCTAGTCAATTTTAAGTAATACTCTGTGGCGACACATGTCATAAGTCAAATATCGATGAAAACAAATCAACGGATGACGTCATAAAAAATCCTACGTCACACATGTAAAGTTTACATGCGAATTAACATCGATAGAAAATCCACGAACAATTGTTGGGCAGAAAGCCCGCCAGACACGAAAACCTCGCCTGGTCGGATGGTCCTCCTTTTCCGATCCTAGGGAACTATACTCTCTCTTCCCTAAAACTTAAATATTGTGCCATCTTCGACATTTTACAAGTAATTTGTAGCGTCAAAACTACACGTAAGCGCGTCTTCAAATTGAGTAAGCCTTTCAGTATTCGGGCGGTAGACTTCTAAATGTTTTATAGCTGATTTCATACTTAATTTAAACTTTATAAGAAAGAAGCATAGATGTTGCTATTAGTCATATAAGTGTTTTGTATATCTACATATATACTGCTTGAGAAAATTACAAAAACGTAGTATAAAATTATCCTTCGTATAGTCGTTCAAAATGAACACATTTCATTTACAAGATTTTACCTTATTTCTATTTCAAGAGAACCCAAATTTGTATCTCACTATGTATTACAAATACACGTGGGAGCAAAGTAACGGAGCCAATAGCGTTTTTCTTTTTCAATGTCAAAGTCAAAGTAAGAAACATCAACAAATACAAAATAAATAATAGTCTGCCAGTCAGTCCGTCAGTGAAGCTTGGTGCTCATTCCAAAATGTAGATTCGAATGGAGAAGATCGAGCAAGAAACTCCATTCGTTACTCTTTTTAAAAAAATTATGTTCTACAATGTGTCTGATACATATTCCAATACTGTACGTAGGGGTATGTGAGAACAATGCAAAGACACGCTAGTGGTTTCGTTTCTTTACTCCTAAGTGTATATACCAAAAATACAATGGCTACTACATATTTAAACCTTACCTAGTATGATAAGTAGTATCAGTCCCTCTGGGCACGTGTGCAGTAACAACGACTTCTCCCTCCACCTCCACCCCGGTCTCCCCGGTAGGCTCCTCCCCTTCTTCATTCTTACTTCCACTCTTATCTTGTTCCTTCTCTTTATTTCCTTCTTTCATTTTCTCCGGCTTCAATTCCTCTGCTTTCTCCACCTGATGATTATTTAGTTATTTACACTTCTTTATAAAGTTAATGGACATTTGGATGGATGCAATGATTAAAGATTATGTATTAATAAAAGAAAAATGTATTATTAAGTTTCGTGAATTTTTCGATGAAATGATGCTGCGGTGTTCTGTTAGAAAAACAAGCATGATGACGACGTATGAATGAAGGCGACAGTTGAAGAGGTTGGTACAAGTTCGCAAATGCAGTACGCACATAATGTTAACAGTTTAATCTCCTTATTAAACTGTCAAATACCAAGCGGTCACCGGTGACCGCAACCTATTGTTCTATAATTGTGTCTGCAAAACCGGTAAAATCATAATAACCAACTTACTAAAACAACTTTTCCAAATCATTCCTTAACAAGTTCATAAAGCATGCTATAAGCCTAGTTTTAGACTAGTTTAGAAAAGACATTTCTCCTTTATTCCCTTAACTCTAATCATCATCAAAACCCCATCACCAGAAGCTCGACCATCACCATAAAACCCTGCAACTATAGAATAAATAACCTGTAGTTCCTCTTCATCAATATCCATAGGAACTTCTTCGTCTTCCTTCAGAGGCTCAGCGTTCTCTTCCTCGTCTACTAACATTGGCTGCTCGTCTGCTTGTTCTTTAGTCGCAGCGTCTATCGCCTGCACAAGTTTAGCCGAGTTATCAATATGGTCAAAAAAGACCTAGTGTTGGGAGTACACCTGAAAATCTGAGTTCTACTTTAGTGAAAGACCGATCAAGTTGATTATCATAACTATATAATAATAAAGGTAATAAAGTATTTCTTTCAACAACATTTGGTTGGTTTTAATATTATATGTAACTTGCTGAGGCAGCTACTGCCCAGTCCCCAAACAGTCACCGGTGACTGCTCTCCACTTACTTCATTACAGACCTTAATTCCGATGTTTAGAGCCTACTTTTGTATGAACAAATGTTGTGGATTTTTCTTGTAATGTAATATGGATAGACGAAATTTAAGAAAATAGCGGGCCTCTAGTGGACTACAGTAGCACACTATAGAGACAAGTGGAATACTTTGAAGGAGGCATTTACTCGATAGGGATTCTTATAGAATTCAAACTAACCAACACGAACAATAAATTAAATTTAAAATTTTAATTTATATTAACAATACTAACAAGAAAATTGTAAAATTAACTGTAAGAAATATATATGTAGCTTGTTTATTTTATTTACTCATAATGTAATATAACGTGAAGATAGCAAATAGACAATTAAGCTTAATTGATGTTTGAAACTTTTTTAGTAGCGAAGAGAGGACACTTTCTTCTCTCACATACCGAAGTCATAAATAACCGTTTACAAAATAAAATTGACCGGCCTTTCCACACAGAAATCTACAACATCACAACCCAACAGACAACGCATACCTTGTTATCCTGAGCAATCTGTGTATCAAACCTAATTTCTAATAACTTTACCTGCAAATCATCCTTGTTGGCTTGCTTCACGTGTTGGTAGGCGTCTGCTTGTTTCTCCGCATCCTCGTCGTTGGCGCCACCTTCGTCAGCGTCTTCACGTTCCACGTTGAGAGTTTTAGCTTGCTTGTGTTTCTTTTCATTGACGTCACCTAATATTGGGTGTTATTATAAATTATAGAAGCTTTGAATTTGATTTGTTTCAAATCTTTTTTGGACTATTTTATTTTATTTTTATTGATTTGGCTCACCAACAATTGATTACACTTATACAATATAGGGTTACATTTACGAAAACTTAAATACTAGTGCATCAATCTATTATAGGTAAGCACAACATGCATCAGGTATATACTGAATGGTTTACAAATCATTATGATCAGAGACAGGCAAATCTAACCATTGACATGGATTTAACATTCAAAATAACTAAGAAGAATTAATATCGGACACAGATTAAATATTAAACTTAAAATTGACGATAAATACTAGACTAGTGATAGTAACTGCCTTATTGGCCGAGTGGTCGCAAGTGCGACTGCCGGGCTACTCGGGTTCGATTCCCGGGTCGGGCAAAGTATTACTGGGTAAAGAAAATCTCACTAGTAGCACGGACTCTAGAATTAAGCCCGGTATGTATATGGCAATAGGCTCACCTCCTATTGTATGGGACTCATGACATACATTATAGAGGTATAGTGAAAAGTGGGTGTTACATTGTACAATGGCATTAAGTGCCCTAATGTGCACCTCTGCAAACCCATAACATTACATAACATCACGCCTTTTTATCCTCGAAGGGGTAGACAGAGGTGCACATTATACCAATGTACAATGTCACACCCACTTTTCACTATTTATGTTATGAGTCCCATGTAATAGGGGGTGAGCCTATTGCCACTCTGCCTAAAACTAAAAGGCGTTATGTGACAATAATTAAGTGAATGACAGACTTCAAGGACACTTATTATTTTATTTGACTTACCAAGCGTCCGTTCCTGGTCAGTCTTGCCAGGCTTGTTCTCGTGTTTCTTGCGTTGTTCCTCGGCGCGGTCAGTGTGGCTCGCTGCCTGCTTCTCCCCGCGATGTCCTTTGTCACTCTTGTCTAGTTCTGAACGACCAGTCGACTGTTTCTCTTCAGTATTTTTATCTTGTACTTGTTCCTGTGTAATGGAATCATTGTTAAAATTGAATTGAATTTCCGCAAACTCTGTAAGAGTGCATTTGCAACTTTAATTTTGTGACATAAAGTTGAGAATCTAAAATATTTTTTTGAGTTTGCGGATGTCTCTGGAATATATCATTTTGATGCACTTGTTACTTGCGTCAGACAAGCACATCTATAGAACCCAAGAATCTAGATTTCCATGCTTCAGCAAAGTATGGCTAACCCCTTTAACAGTCTTAACAAGTATTAGCTTCAGCCCGCGACTTCGTATGCGCACCCGCCCGCGACTTCGTATGCGCACCCGCCCGCCCGCTGTTTCCCGTACTCGTTCGTGATTTTCGATAAAAAGTAAAAAAGTATTGGAACAAAAGCCACCTCCCGACCAATTTTCATACAAATCTATTAAGCGGTTCTTGAGTTATAAATTTAACTAACACGAATTTCTTTTATATTATACATAAGCTAATAGTCGATGACTGCCCGTTATTAACCGTTTATCAATCCCTAACTACATAAAGACTATGAACTAAATAAAACTTCAACGATACTTACATAAGGACTAGATTCATCCTCCTTGTTCTGTTCAGCATTAGTTTCCACGTTATCATCTGTTCCTTTCTCCATTTGAGCATTCTCAGCCTTATCTTCTGCAGTTGGGTCATTATTCGACGGATTAGCTTGAGGATTAGCTTCTTGATTCTTCTGTTCTACTTCATCCTCTTCTTCTATCTTCTCAGGATTCTTTGGTAAGTCCTTTTCTTCGTTTTCTGGTACTTCTGGTGTTTCTGTTTCTTCTGGTGCTGTTTCTTGATCCACTTCTTGACCACCTTCTTTCTCTTCTTCGTTCTCTTGTGGTGTGTCTTCTGGACTTGGTTTTTCGCTGTCATCTTCTTCTTTGTCTTTTTCCTGATTGATAAAATTTTATTAGCGATTGTTTTGATTATGAGTGTGTCTAAATTAATTTTTGAAATGCGTTTTTTAAACAGGTAGTACATTATTTTTTTCTATAGTATATCCCTTAGTAATGACAAATATGAAGTGCTCATAGTGATTCAATTCTTAACATACAAAATAATAACATCCCCCTAAACCATCAACAGCACATACCTTATCATCATTTCCTTCGTCATCACCTCCCTGGTCTCCCCCATCTTCCTCATCATCAGACACGTCTAGTCCATTGTTAGTGTCCTTGCCGTCTTCACCTTTATCATCCTCTTTTTCAGGCTCCTCCGGTATATTCTCCTTCATGACATCAATGTCGAATGGATTCTCTGTTTCTGTTTCTCCATCCTGTTCCTGTGATTAAGAATTAATATTTACCTACCAATTACTATTGTCTTTAAATGTTTTTTTTTCTTAAATGCGATACATGAAATCTTTTGGTGTATTTATTAATTTTATACTTTATTGCACACACAGAAAAATAAGTAGGTATACAGTGTAATAGTAATTTGAGTACAATGGGCGGTCCGGTCTTCTCACACGCCGCTATTTCTTCCAGTCAAACTTTAACATAAATTTCACAAAACTAAATAATAACTAATTCTTTATTACATTATTATTGTTCGACTTACTCACGTAATTGTAACTCTTCTTTTATAATATCCTACTGGTTAAATGGTGAATTAGAATCAAAGTAGAATCTAGTCATGATTTTGATAAGATTAATAAAGAAAATAGAAAAATCATTGTATCCGCTAGCGTCAGCATAAAGGTCACAACAAAAATCTCGAAGTAACTCAAAGAAAATTGGACTTACATCATCGCCAGGATCATCACCGTCGACATCCATGTTCTCAGGCAGCTCAAAGTCCTCCGGTTCTGGGAGAGGCTGCTGGTTACCATGGTAGGGATCCGTCTAGAGACACAGAAGTAAAATATGTATAGAAAAGAGTGAGAGCCATGCTTCGGCACGAATGGGCCGGCTCGACCGGAGTGATACCACGGCCTCACAAAAAACAGAAGTGAAACAACGCTTGCGTTTCCGTTACCGGAGGCCCAATTACCCCCTTCTCCAGTCTCCCCAATCCCCGAATCCCCCACAATCCTCAAATTTCTAATTCTCAAAAGGCTGGTAACGCACTTGTAACGCCCCTGATGTTTCGGGTGTCCATGGGCGACGCCGATTGCTTACCATCAAGTGATCCGTCTGCCCGTTTACCGGCTTATCTCATAAAAAATATGCCCGTTATAAACAACAAATTAAGAAATTCCTTGTTATCTTTCAGGAAAAACTAAGGCTACTCTTTATTTTTTTTTATTTTTTTTATTTATAATCACAACAGTGTACACATTGAGTTTATAACCTTTTCCCACAAAACCGGTTTAGCGGTTTGACTGTGGATTTGTTGTGTGTGTGTGTGTAATGTGGTTTAGACATGGAATATGCTCAAATTACAATACATTTGAAATTAGTTATAATTCTTTTACATTTTCTTCTTCTTTAATAGGCTAGTATCCTAGATTTTATTTTAATGACCGTCTGGTAGATTGTTTTAAAACTTACATGTATTTTTTCCTTTCTTACAAAATTAAATAGTTTTGACGATATATTGAATTGAAATATCGTGTGACGTCACGATTTCTTAAATTTTATAGGGTACCGTGACGTAACGACCTCCTACTCCTAAACTGAACATTTTATCTAGGTAAGTATGTGTATAATATTTTTTTCATTATCTAAATGACGGACTAAACACATTTTTAATTTTCATACACTGTCTACTACCCTATTAAATGACTTACCTGATCATCATCCAACTCTGGTTCTTCCATTTCATTGATATCTTTCTTCTTCTTTTTATCTTTACCATCGGCTCCATCATCAGCACCTTGTTCCTGATCATCTTTAGCTGACATCTCTTTCTCTCCCGTACTTTCTCCTTTACCCTTTTCTTCTTTATCCTTCTGTTTTCCTTGTTCTTCTTCATCTAATTCTTCTTCGTCTTCTGAACCCCAGATTTGTTGGTCAAGTCTATTAAGAATAATTTGAGTATATAGATGGATATTGTCTTAGAAGCCTTTACTTATGATATTAAAGAAATTAACGTTTACTGCGACACCGTCTCGTCGGTAAATCGGAAATGCCAGGATAGATGTGTATTCCAGGCATTACCGACCGGAATTAGGGACAAATAGTGCAGCTATATATAGAAAAATAATACTCTTTTAACTAAAATCGGGAGTTACTCACGTATATATACTGAGAAAAGCTAGAAAAGAAATACTAGTTTCGAACCACAGAGGGGTTCTTCCTCATGAGCAGCGTGCGCGGTCGCCGCGATGTCGCGCAGCTCACTAGTAGAGCTTTTCTCAGTATACTCACGTGAGTAAACCGCCATTTTAGTTAATTTAGTATGTCTCAGGATAGTTATTATAAAAACATTACTCTTTTAGCTTATAGGAGCACCTTTAGTGAAATTAAAACCAATCAAGCTACTGTTTTCATGTAAACTTACTTGTCAGCAGCGTTATCAATGTCACCCATTTGTTTATCAGCATCGTCTTCGTCATCCTCTTGGTCTGATTGTTCTCCATCTAGGATTTAAAATGACAATTTAGAACAGAAATTAATATCCTAATCTAGAAGTGAAAGTAGTAGTTTCTTAACATCTCACTCACAGCGTGTTTCACCGGCGACCTACGTCAGTGTTAAGATAGCATCCTAATATTAGTAGCCTACCTTTTTTATCAACATCTTGCAGATGAGAGTCAAAGTCATCAGTCATATTAACTCCCTTCTCTTCTTCTTTACAATCTCTGTTGTCTTCTTTTTTCTCTTCTCCCGGTTGACGAGCGTCGTCTAACTGGTCCTAAGGAAGAACATTAACATTACATCGTAGAAGTTAAGAAGCAATCAAGAAGAAAATCAAAACTACTTTTTAATTATGCTCGCAGCAAGGTTGCCGCTTGTAGTAAGTCTACTTTCGAACTCGAACACATCAATAAAAAAAATCATGTAGGAATATTTAAATTACCTGATTCTCAATTCTCTCTGACACATCTTTCTGCCCCTCTCCTTCCCCTAGCCCCATACCGCCTGAAAACTTCCCAGAACCACCTTCACCCTCGGCCTCATCCATATCTAAGTCCGAAGGCTTGCAAAAACTGCCGATAAAACAATAGGTACTGTAGATTGATTGAAGATTTGATAGAAGAAGATTCTTATACTGTCAATTTCAATAACCTATCTCAATCGAAAATCTGTGGATAAGGATCGATTTTTAATATCAGATGTATGGAGTTTCTGCCAAAAATCTTAAATCACATATTTTGGTTCAAATCAAATCATTATCAAATCATTATCAAATCAATATCAAATCTTAATTCACTTATTTTGGATTGGGATATGTTACTAAAATTGGTAACTGCCAATAAACCAGAAAAGATCTACTTTTGTCTGTCTGCGTTATATACATCGAAATCAAAAACTCAACAATATTTTTTCAGATGAATGGCATCAAAAACCACAATATTTGTCAAAAAAAATGGTTCACAACTTACCCTTTTGAAGCCAAATCCGAGAAGATCTTCAACAACACAGACAGCATCTTGCACGATACTCTATGCACAGACACTTTTTGCGTCACAAAGTATTGGACAAACAGCACAGTTTGTTCCAATATTGGCACCGCCCTCATCACCGCAGTCCTGACTTCTTCATCAACATTATTAATGGCCAGATGTTCCACATAGTTGGAATACAACAACTGAGTTTTATTTATAAGAGATTCTAGTTGGAGCATTCTAGTATCGTTACTAAGCTTGTCCTGCAAATGTTCCTTCAAATGTTTGTCTTCAACTATGTCTTTAGGTTCTTCTTTATCGCTCTTTATAATTTCGTCTATAGCGTTTATTACTTCAGCGTTTTCTGTCGTGTCTGCTGGTAGATGTTTCTTGTACACAGATTGAACGATCAGAAGCATCGTAGCTACCAAGTCTTCTGTTTGAGTAACAAGTTGGTTGGTAGTAACCTTTGTCGATTTTGGTGTAACGCGTTTGTCCAATTTGACCAGTTCGCGAACTGTTTGCTTCAGGTAAGTTACTAGTTTGTTTATACTCTTGAGTAAAGGATGGCTTGGTGTATGCTCGAAAGTAGATAGTTTAAATTTGAACTGATAGTCTTGTAACAAACTATCAATGTCGTTGATCATATTTTCTATGTTGACTTTACAGTCATTTGCAACGTTAGCATGAGTTTGGGACGCCAAAGGATTCTCTTTACCTTGCCTTTCTTTAGGCATGTCATTCGATATTTTATGTAGCGTGTTCTTTTGTTTATTGACGTTTGTAATTAGGGCTTTAATTCTCTTGTTTAGATCGCGCCATTCGTCCGTGTTTTTGTAACAACGAACTATTTTGGAATCAGAAAGGACGCTGTCAAATTCTGGTTCGTTTTCTGAATCTAAGCCTTTTTCTGGACAAGATTTGAGTACGGCATTGAATTGTTCTAGAACAATGCCAGTGTTGGCGTAGCATTCTACGAGTAGTTCTATTTTTGATCTTAGGGAAGATACGTTTGTTTCTGTATCGTCAAAGTCGAGAGCGTCAATTAAGTTTGTAGAAAGGTTGCGAAGGTCACAGAGGTAACGAGAATATTTTGATATGGATTTCTTTTGTGTGTTCGTTATTTTCTGGAAAAAAGTATGAGAGTAAGTATTTAATAATTAATCGTTTTGTATATAACGATTTTAACTAGAATTAAGAAGTTTTTAAAACAATGAATACTAGCGTATCTATTTTAGCACTACATGGCTTTAATGAAACATACTTAAACTTTATTCGTCCTATCACTAAGGCCGTCCAAATTGAAGGCTCGCCATTCAAGTCATAAGTCCAATTCCCCATTCAAGTTTAATCTATATTAAAGTATCTATTGGACTTATGACTTGAATCTATACTTTAATATAGATTAAAGTATCTATTGCTTAAATAAAAATTATGTAACTAACATTATTTTTCTAAAGTTTGACATATTATGAAATGTTTCAAAAATTTTAACCCATACATCCCCAAGCGGTCACCGGTAATCGCTCTCCATTAACTATTATAGACCTTATTTCCAATGTTTAGAGACTACTTTTGTATGAACATATTTAGGGGATGAATTGTCCTTATCAATATAAGTTTCAAATACAGTTTAATTCCTTACCAACAATTGCGCAGCAAATCCTTTCAATCTTTCGATGTTCTGCATGCCTAAGTCCTGGTGAGGAGACTGCAGTGCTAGAGTGAGGGTCCTGTGTCGGGCGATGTTCTTCTGGAAGTATTTCTCACAACCAGACCATAGCAGAGACAAAGTGGTGTCGCATCGTCTGCAAAAATGTATTATTTTAAGCATAAAAACAAGATAAACATCTTTATTAAATGTTACAAATACATAATGTCACCCCTTTTTATTTCCAAAGGGGTAGGCAGATACAATATAACGTTCACTTTTTAACAGTTATGTTATTTTGACTGCACGGTTGGTGCGGTGGGTGGGCAACCGGCTGCCGCGTAACGTGTCGCGGGTTCGATTCCCGCATGGAGCAACTCTTTGTGTGATCCACAGATTATTGTTCCGGGTCTGGGTGTCATATGTATGTGAACTTATATGTTTGTAAACGCACCCACGATACAGGAGAAAATCCTAGTGTGAGGCAACGTTTTATAAAAAAACTAAAAACATTTATTATGAGTACAATGTAATACGCGTCAACTTCTTGCCATACACCAGGCACAATTTGTGAATGCGTGCTAATATTGACAATTTCCGAAGAACTCATTACATCTCAATAATAGTTTACCAAACACGGGTATCAAACTTGTGAGCTTTTACTCAGCAATCGCACGTACTATGTATATTGGTTAGCGAACCGAAAACTCAGGATATAACCTTGATCTACTTAGGGCCAAATCCCTACTTAATATTATAAATCGGAAAGTGAGTTTGTTTGTTTGTTTGTTCCGCTTTCACGCCATAACTACTAAACCGATTGCTTTGATTTTTTGCAGATGTATAGGTAGACGTCCGGATTAAATAATAGGGTACTTTTTATCCCGGAAAAAATTGATATTCCCGAGGGAAAACAAAAGTATTGGTATAGATGGCACTGTGTGTATTGGTATATGTCACATTGGCTTTTTATCCTTTTGTGACGAGAGCGAAGCCGCGGGTAAAAGCTAGTTTTATAATAAAATACACTTAAGTACTCACCGGCTCTTCAGATGACCAACAGCAGGTTCCAAATCGACGGGAGGTATAGTGAAATCGTATAGTTCTTTACCCGACGCTATTATGACTAACCCGGTACGGTAATTAAGACCGAGTTTCGTCAAGTATTTGAATAAATCAGCTAACGCTTTACGCTTTTGCTGTATGAAGTTCTTAGCTTGAGATGTTTGTTTTTCTTTTGGTAGTGAGGCGTCCACCTATTGGAGATTTGATAATTTCAATTAAAATCGTCATCATAAACACAGAATCACCAATATCATTGGATCTAATCATTTGTATAATCGATCATATATTTCTTAAATACTTAAAAATTAAACCCCGGTGATGAACCCGAAAATTTTGATTTAACACTAAAGTCACTACAATAGGGTAGTTTCGTAAATTTTATTTTAATTTTCATCTGGATGATTAATTTAACAATTTATAACATTAGACACGCATTTTTTCTTTTCTTACAAAATTTAATAGTTTCCACGATATATTAATTTGAAAAATCGTGTGACATCACAACGTGCTTACACTTGACCGACCTCCAACTCCTAAACTTAACTCCATTTTATCTAAGTACTGTAACTTTATACGAGAAAATAATTTTTAAATAAAAAAAACTTTATAAATAAAAAAAATACATGTCTAATATTTTTTCATTATCTAACTCGCGGACTTATTACATTTTTAATTTTCATATCCTAGCAACTACTCTTTTCACAAGGCAGTGTTGCTTAACGCATTCATATGAAAATACACCCACCAACGAAAATTAAATAAAAATTAAAAAACTAATTTAAAAAAAGTCACACTAATACAAAAATTTAAAATACAATTAAGAACTCACCTCCAAAGACCCAAGATGCTGGCTGGTCTCAATAACAATGGTTACAAAATCATCCAAAGCCTGCACCAGGGATGGGTACCCAGTATTCGTAATAGTATCCTTACATAGAGCTCTAGTTTTGTCCAATAAACTGGCAATCCTTAACAATAAGCTTCCGTCTGCTATCAACTTGCAAGGCTCGTCCAGTAAAGATATATATCGCTAGTAAAAAAAAAAACAAATTACGTATGAAATTTTGTGAATGATACAAAAATGTTTGTGTCTATTTCATATAGGAAGGGTACGGTGTCGTTTTGGTATTGATTTTAAAATTAAAAGCCCGAAATTTGAATGGCTTCTCAATTTTAAGTTGGTATTAAAAATCGTGCCATCTCTTTCATTTACAAAGAATTTATAGTGACAGTACTATTCTTAAGTGCGTCTTAAAGTGTTTGAGTATATGGACATAAGTTGCGCGTTTAAACGGTTATAGTTAGTTGCGAATTTAAAACAAAACCATATTAAAATGTAAAATAGATTTTCATGTGTCTATTCGTACGTTGAAAGAAAGAATAAAGAAAAAAGACATGAAGAATGTAGTAAGTTAACAATAAAAAAAGACTAAAAGAAGGATTGTTGTAAAACGACATTCCATGAACTTATAGTGATGTGTACCTGCCGTAAAACCTACTAATAGTAAAAAATGTACATGTATAAAAATTAAAGTTAAGAGCGCAATTATTGTCAACAAATGTTGATGGCATCATTTGTCAATGTCACTATACCCTTCCCATGTGAAATGAACTATATTGTTAGCTATGTTGTAAACAAACAAGTGTATTATTGTGTACAAATTCTACCCCGCAACCACTACGATTTATTAAAAAAAAAACAAACAGCATTTGAATTAATTGATAGCTTGTGTGCACTATTGAACCTTCATTTCATGCTTTGAATTTTTCCAACACTATTTAGATTTAAGGGAACAAAAGCATTTATTTATGTTTCGACCTAGTTGCTTTATCAATTAGAATGATTTGAATCTTATCCTCAAACAAATTGGACTTTATTTTCTTTACATTGTTTGTTACTAAAATTTAAATACATTCATGCAAGAGCCCTTTCTCTGAGGCCTTAGTACGTGCTCGGCGGTCTGATTGGCCGACTCAAGTAAACCAACCAATCAGAGCGATGAACGTTACTCGTTCTAAGGCTTCTTTCTGTTATCTCGGACTGTTCAAAATCTTATATAATCAAAGTCGTATCTATTAAGTGTGTATGCAGTACATTTCCATTCTTATAATAAATATTGTATTACAGAAGAAACTATGGTAATAAATAAAGGTAGGTCCAACTGCGTACAGAAGCTTTGCAACAAAAAATAAAATAATCTGAACAAGCAATACTACCTGCAAAGGCTGTGAATTAAAAACAAAACCAGTATTAGTATGTGTCATTGCAAAATAAAACGAAAAGATAAGAAAAAACTATTAAATACAGTGGAGTATGGTACGAAGTGTGTGAGTGGTTTTGAACCTTATAAACTATTTTTTACAGTCTTTTTTACTATAGGACATTTTTGTAGAGTTTGTTAGTGTTAGGATAAGAAAAAAGAACAATCTAAGAAATCACTGACCACAGCAGATCAAATATTTGTACAATCGACAAAGTTGGCGGTGGACCATTATAAGGCGATATTCGCATGCACTCGGCGAGAGCGACAGCAAAGAAAACGCCCGGTGGATAGCGAATTTGCCACAGGATTCTGTTTAAAAACTGTACTACCGTAAACTTCGCCGATGGTACATTTGTGTTGCGTATCTGAGATTGATGTTACAATGCTTTAATAAATTAAATGTTACAATATCTAATTGTTCGAATCCCTTCAAGTCTTTATTTAGTATATTCCGTTGCAATTAAACCAAACTCCTTCAAACGATTAGTAGTTCAAGTGTTACAAACATGCTACAAAATCAACTTCATACCGACTGTATACGGTTAGTGGTAAAATATGATCTACTTTTAAATTGGATTAGTTTCATATCGACTTAAATATGGACCAAAAATTTAAGTCATTGTCAATTTTGCGCAGGCACGGTAGCTATAGGGTGCGTGATTAAAACTTTATTTAATTAATGTCTATTTGTTACATTTCCGAAACTGGATCATTGAAAGTGCAGTCAACACAGCTATTTTATGCAGATAAGACAATAAATATTTGACTTAATTCAGAAACAATAGATAGTTACTGTGCTGAAATTCAACACAAAATACGAGATATAAGAAAAAAAAAGATCATTGATGACGCACACATGTTTGTGTTTAACAATTTGTTAATTGTCAAAATAATAACTATCGTGAGGCATACTAAATTAACTATAAATCGCGGGTTACTCCAGTGAATATGCGAGAAAAGTTCTACTAGTTTCGAACTAGTAGGCCGCGCGACATCGCCGCGTTCGCGCGCATTGCTCATGAGGAACCCCTCTGTGGTTCGAAGTCAGTAGAGCTTACCTCAGTATTTTGACGTGAGTAACCCGATTTTTAGTTCATTAAATAGTTAAAAAACCAACAAAAGACGAGACCTGCGCAAAAATCCACAACGAACTTCCCATAACGTCCTAGCACAGTTAATATAAAATTAAATGTTTACCTTAATATTTCTGCAGACGAGCATATAATTCTGCACGTCGATCATGTACGCGCCGCCTGTGGGTGCGTTAGCCGTCGTGGTTCGTTTCGGTCGGTCCCATATACCCACATGGTCGCCTATCACTTCCGTTGAGTTGTCCACTATACAGCTTGTTACACTTTCTTTTAGAACGTTCTAGAAGAGAAAATAAAAAAGGTTAACCGTCTTGCTTCTTAACTACGCTAGAGATATAAATTGACTACAATTTGTTATATATCTAAAAAAGGTAAAACAAGTACATTGTAGACGATGACAGTTACCTATACACGGACAGTAGAGTTTACAAGCAAATGTAAACTCTATTTTCATTAGTAGTAAATAAAGTTTTCAGAAGCACATTTTCTGCACAAAAAAGGTCAAAACACAATCGTCAATGTAAACTAAACTGTAATACCTCTTGATAAGATTTCATTTCCAAAATCAACACCTTCCTTTACTTACCTCAAACTCCTTAGTATGTTTATGAAGCGCTTTATGTGCCTTTTCGACAGTGTCCTTGACACTCCAGTAGCTAAGATCTCTATCCCAAGTGCAAATCTTCACAAAGTCGCGCAATTTCTTCTCAATGGGTGCGCGCTTCTCTTTAATATGGGCGGCGACTTGAGCGCTAAATTGCGCATAGTAATTATATGTGTTCCATAGGATGGCTAGGAGTTCATCTGTAGGAGAGTCAAGTTAGTTAGTTTTGTTGTAAAAATTTTTTTTTCTTTAAATATATTTGTATATTGTAAGTCTTACACCAAAAAGACCAAACACACATTTCGCTAGTTGTTATTTAAAGTTGTGTGGTTCAAAGGCAATTTAGAATGAATATATTGCAAAATATTAAGCTTAAATTTAGACTATGAAGAATAAAGAAATTCTTAAATTAAATTAACTCTTTCCACCACGGAATTGAAGACGAGGTCACGTGATAGGCAGTCGTTATTGCAACCACTTACAAATTGAGAGTAAATAAACAATAATCCGCGTCAACAGGATCATAAACTCTATTTTCACAATAAAACAATTAACCATTAACATACACAACAACAAAAAAAATTAAATAAAATTATTACTATAAAAAAATAAACGTTACCTCTCCTCTCCGAAGCTTCTAAATGCACCAAGTGACAATGGTACACGAATATGATATCCAACCTTATTTCGTACTCAGCTAAGTTCGATTTTTCCATGAAGTCTTTGAGCACCGTTATGACTCTATCAGCCGGTACGGGATCCGTTGTCGTGTCTAGATATGAACTGATGACGGAGTACAGGTAGAACCAGTACTTATGTGCTTCGGATTGTTTCCTGAAAATATTTGGTGTGATTAGTATAAATGCAACCTTATGTATAGGAATGCAAGGTTGAATATTCTTTTATAACAAACTTATAAGATCTTAACTTAATTTTTATAAGAACCAAATCTCTGAGACACGCCTCTGTGACATTCAATATCTGTATTCTATTTTTAATATTACAACGCGTTTCTTTTCTTCAAAACAGTCAAAAGTAGGCCCGAAAATGTAATAGTAGGACAACATAAAAATATCCCATGTTGTTTAATCACATAGTATCAAGCACATTACCAGACTCTGTGTTAAAATAAATAGTTCCAACTAGCTATCAACCATAAAAAAAATTATACATTTCAAATATATTTCGTCAGTTCATCATCAACAGTCCATAAGTACGCACTGCTGAGCAAAGCCTCTTCTCACACGGAGAAGGTTCGAGCAATTAAAGGTTCGCTGTCTCATTGCGAGTTGGCGATTACAAACTTATAATTAGTTTACTCACGATGTTTTCCTTCACCGTTTATCAGTGGTGTCTAAATAATGTTAGAAAGTACATATAACTCGGAAAAAGTCACATTGGTACTTGCCATTGATAGGTTTCAAACCCGCAGCCTCATGCATGAGAAGCGGTCTTAATGTCCGGGCCAGAACGACATTTGTAATTTTAAACATACATGGACATGAAAATAAAGATTATAATGATCACACATACCTATTATACAGATTATTAAGACACTCCTTCCAGTGCGCCATCTCTAGTTTCCTCCAATTTATAATCTGTTGTCCGACAGCCAGAGACACTTCGATCATATTGTTTCCTTTATGGGCGTTTTTGTTCCACTCCTCTATTTTATCCCGGAGCAACTCTAGTCCCGTTAGGAACCGACTCACCGGACTGGTTACCGGGAAACTTAGGATCCTGTTTACTATTACTATTATCTGGAGAATAATAATGGCTGTTAGATTCGAACGATGGTAATGTCACATTTTATAAATACTGACGCTGTGAATGAATTTCTTAGTGTTAGACTATTTTTTTGCAATTTAGATGGCTGATGTGATGGTTAAAGAGAGTATGGCTAAGGTAAAAAACCTGCCCAATAATTTTGCAGTTGAAAAAACCTCATAAAACTAAAATTTATATCGTTTTATATTAACCTGTAAAGATAAATGTAAGTGGAATACATAAATAATCAAAAATAAATTAAAATATGTATTGTAAATCCAGGTCACTAAAATAACGTAAAAGGTTAACGGGACTCTGGCTCGAAATGCAGGAGTAGGAACAGGGTGGTTTTTGATCAGTAAGTTTGTCACTCCCTCTCGCCTCATCCAGGGGGGAGAAGTCATTCGATGATTTTCCGCCATTAAAAAAATAACTAAAATGAAGTATCACTCACCTCCTTCAAGGTGGGGAAGTCTGGCCACTGATCAAGCAATTCATTGGTGTTCTCTTTCACTCGATGAAGTAGCGGCACACACTGCTTGGTTTCCGAGACCCAGGCGGATCTGTAGAAGTCTACCTTGCTTGACGACTCTAAAAACCAAAAAGAATCAGTTAAATTGCTCTTTGTGGCAAAGACCCGATTCCGGAATCCATACTATATACATTCGAATAATTTGATATTAAAAATCCTAATCCATATTTTGTAAGCTGTAACCCTTTAACGACAATAACTTCTGCCCCCTTCTTTCATTGAGTGAAATATTATTCAACTGCCAAAGTCCGCAAACTAGAACCTACTCCAATATATCGTCTCACAGTTTACAGTACATTCGCGTTAAGAATGCCGTAAGTCATCATTGTCTGTCAGCCTAGTCCTGCCTCGTAAAACTGATTTTAAACTTTTAAGTGTATTTTTATAAATACATTAACTTCTTTAATCTTTAAAATATTTTTTTAACACACCACTGTGAATACACCTATATCTTACAGTTGCACTGATGACTCACTGCATTCTTAACGCGAACAAACTATAGTGTTTACCCAAAATATTGCGCAACAATAGTTGAGAACATAAAAATAAGATCTTACCTTCCCCATCAACTTTATCCTTAATCTGAGCAATAAGGACCATCAGACTCGGCGAGATCTTCCCTTCAAACTCCGCGTCCAAAGCCTCCCACGCGTTATCTATAAGCCTGCTAAATGTAGGATACCTCTCCAAGAACGGACTAACAACATCATTACCGACCAACTTCTTTCGGTCGGGTAACCAGTCCGCTGACGTCATGTTACGAACTAAATTGGAATGCCATTTGTATACTAGAGTAATATCTTCAGGTGATATTAGGAATTTCTGTTTCGGTTTTTCTGTTTTTGGGGTCTTTATTGGTACTTGTTCTAGGGTTGGTGGTTTGAATTCTGCAAAGTCTTGGTCTGAGTACGATGGGAACATCTCCATCATTTCTTCTAAGGCCATCGCTTCTTCATCTTCGTCTTCACATTTCGATCTGGAAATGGAGGTAGATTAACTATGGAGGTCTTTAAAAAAGACTAACTAAGCCTTACTTCCCATGATCTCTTAGATAGGCATTAAATTAACTAAAAGACTATTTTATCTGACATACATACTACACAGTTCATTTATTTTGATGGATTAAATCGGAAACAATAAATTATTATGAAAATTCATTGTTCCCATCATATAAACCATAAGATATCAAGTGCTAAACATAGGCCTCGCCAATAACTCCCAAATAGAGATGATGACATGAGAGTATGAAAATGAAAAATCTAATTAGTCCGTCAGTTAGGTAATGAAAAAATATTAAACACGTATTTTTATATCTTGTCGTATAAGAAAACAATACTTAGATAAAACGAATCGAAGTTTAGCAGTGGGAGCTAAAACATCATTTCTGAGTATAAAACGTACCTAGAAGTGACGTCACGCGATATTTCAAATCAATATATCGTCGAAAGTATTTGTTTCCGGAAGAAAGAAGTGAAAATTAAATAATCTACCAGACAGACATTAAAATACAAATTAGTCATCTACCCTATAGGCTAGTAGGTATAAAGATGAGCCGGGGCTCCGGCTCGAAGTGCAGGAGTAGGAATGGGGTGTTTTTTAGTCAGTAAGAGTCTGACACTCCCTCTCGCCTCACCCGGGCTGGAGAAATCATCGGATGATTTTTCACCCTCAAAAAAAGTATAAAAATTGAAAATTACTTACTTAGTAACATATAATGCTTCATCATCCTGTTTTTTCTTCTCGATTTCTTTCTGTTGTTGCTCCCAAGCCTTTACAAGAGCGTTGAGAGTAGTCAGTATAGCCTCCATAGACGGTCTGTCGATCTTGTCTAGTGCCGTGCAGTGCATGCGTATCTCTAGTAGGTTCATTTTTAACACCCTGTGGAGACATTCTTTTTTTTAAATGCGTCTTGGTACCATCCGTAAGATCGGAAGTGAAGTGAAATGAAGAATGTTCAATATTATTATTGTGTATTTTTGTTAATAGGTTTAAAACGATTTACATATTAATTATAATTACTTTACGTATTTTGGACTCATAAAGCCAGTATTTATCGAAAAAATTAAAAAATCGGATGATTAGTACATAATTTAGAGGAAAATGAGTCTTAAAACTGATTATCAACGGTTTAAATTACTCTAAATTTGGGAATAGATGCATTTGCAATAACTAAGTGACACGTTTGTTTTTCTATCCCAGTGTTTTTTATACAAATAAGACTCATCTATACATATAATAAAATCGTAGGAAAGTGAAAACTGTACATCGAATATTTTTTTAAATAATGCTTTGGGTGTGTTGTGCAGTTGATGCCGAAACCAAAAATATGGTTTTAAGAATTTTTGTCTATTTTTCTGTATGTATGTCTGGAATGAGTTCAAAAAGGGCTGCATGGATTTACTTCAAATTTTGCTTGAAATTACTAACAGGTCGGGTCAACATATAATATCATGCTATTAAGGGGGAGGAGCTGTGAATCCCTATTCCACGCGGACGAAGTCGCGTGCTTAGCTAGTTAACGATAAATAAGAAAATAAACACTTACTGAACCACCTCCACTTCAGCAGGATAAGTCTCTTCGCTGCCACCCATGACATTTCTAGCCAACAACTGACTAAATTTCATAGACAAAAACCTGTTCAAATGCGCCTCTCTACCGCTACTATTAGGAATGTCATTGGGGAACACCATCAAATCATGTACAGCCTCCTTTAATAAAGAACCTTGTTCAATCTTGACTATCAACTCCTTGGTCAAATCGTTCAAGGAGGTTATACTGAAAACAAGTTGGGATATGGAACTTTGGAGAGGTTTTGCTAAGTCAGGCATTGCTTCAGAATAAGTCTCAATTTTCTTATAAAATGCGTTCACAGAATACAGCCACGAAGAAGTTTCTTTGACCACTCTCTGTGCTGTTTGTAGCACTGTTTTGTTCGTGCTGTTGGTAACTATGATTCCGTATAGTTCTTTGCTCGCGTTTATGAGATTGGTAGTAATATCTTGTGTCGTTTTCGATGAGAGAACTGATTTTGTGAAGTGCTTGCAGTCCTGTGAAATTCCAAAATATGTATTATACCATTTTATAATCTCTTGCGTTTTGACGTTTCAATACAACAAATGTTTTGCAAAAATGGACCTTCCATTTTACAAATAACTAATGGCCGTTATCACCAACCATCTGTTAATTAAGAGCTACTTAGCGTGAAGGAGCACCTAATCCAACTCTTTAGCTCTACTTAGGTGTTATCTATAGGTTGGTAAAATCTAAATGTCATTAAGTGTCCTACCATTAGCTTAGGAGTTCTTTAAGTCTAAATTCAATAAGCTAAAAAGGTTTGACTATAATTTTCTACCTAAATAACGAAAAGTACTTACATTGGCAAAACTAATATAACTCGGCTCTTCAGGTCTGAATGTGTTCCCAAGCTTATACTTGGCGACTTTATCAATAGTCCTTTGTCTCAGCTCCATAATAGTGCGGCAATGTGGGTGGACTTTTAACAAACCGCTTTCTTTGCTTAACTTGTTAAACGTAACTTGGGATGGTCTATCGATACCGCCGTAGTAGTCAATAGAACCTGTCACTATACCATGGAAGTAATATACGCTTAGCAAGGCATCAAACATTTTGATATCTTCATCTATATATTTGACTTTAAGTCTGTATTTAGCCACACGATCCATCGGAACGATCTCCGACAAAATCTTAGTTATTAACACACTAGTATGCACTGATAACTGTGTTGTGACCATTTTCATTCGTAATTCATCTGTATTCTTGTTCAATAAGGTTAAAAGTCCATCGTAAGCTATGTTCGCCTCGATTAGAATGTCGTCGAAGTTGGTTTGTCTATACCGCGCTCGAACGTTTTCGGTGACGTTGAAACGTCTCTCCTCGAACGTTTTCGTTTCGTTCTTGAGATCTAAAGCTGAATATAAGAAGTTTATGAGTTGCTCGTATTTCTTCATTTCGAATTTTGCATCTGATATCCTGGAATACAATATGTGAGAAAGTTAATTTTATATTCGAATATAAAAACTTATACGAAACATTACGAAATTATTAGAATGTTTCAGATGTATAAAAAAAAGTTAAGTATGCAACTCACTTATACGATTATTTTTGAAAGTTTTGTTGGCTTATTCGATAGCCGATGAAATACTTTACAAACATTATGTTTTTGTGTTTATGTACTATGATACCTTTATATGTACGTACATTTATCACCCTCGTTTTTTTTTTCAATAGATGCAAGCTTCTTTTAAAACCTACTGTAACACTTATCTGCATCACCCTATGGTTGGCTGGTAGAGAATGCCATTCGGCATTAAGTCCGCCATTGTATACAGTTGTACATAAAGTGTTAAATAAATAAAAAAAAATTACGCGAGATTGCAGTGTGACAAAAATTTGGCGGAAGAATACAAAAGTAATATGCATGAACGCACTTTTCCAAATGTATTATGTATATGTCTTGTGTAAGTATGGTTGTATGACGGTTAACCATACCATATTAAGTTGCCTAACTTGTGCACGCCACTGCAACTCAGTACAAAGTCTCCAATCAAATCTTTGTCTCTGGTAGTCTTATATAATTTTTGGATACCGGGGTTGGGACCAATGTGTGGTTATTGGACCCCAATTCAAATAGACGCAATAGAATAATTGAGTTTGTTTCACCAAAATGCTACTCAGACCAAAAATACTTACAACTTGATTGATACTGCACAATCCAGTGTGGCGATATTCTTCCATAGGACATTCAACACAGTTCCCAGTTGCATTGAGTACTTAGTTCTATCCTCCATCGCCACCGCTTCATACGCCAGCAAGTGACGCGATTCTGAAATAATTAATTAACTTTAGTTTCTCCTTTTACAATCTGGACGGCTTAGAATACTCATGAGGTTGTAAAACACATCTGGTTTTGGGATAAGTCCAGAGTCGGATAAAACTATTAGCTGCACTGAAATCTAGAAATTCGATACTTAAAGTAATTGAAACGAGTACGCGTTCTGAGCTCTGATTGGCCGGCTGCAATGAACCAAACAATCAAGAGCGTCGATTGCGGTCTTGTATCGATTTCTTTAAACGTAAAACTAAATCGTACTAAGGCTTCAGAGTGTTCAGTTCACGAGAGCCGGCCACCGAACCAACCAATCAGAGCGTCTAACGCGCTCGATACTATTGAGGTACGAATGCGATAATTATTCGTACTTGGAACTCTCGTATCATCTTATCCTTCTTCTTTTCGATCTTATGTGACTTGAATAAGTCACAAAATATTATCTATACCCATTCCTCTCCACCAAACACCATCTATTACAAATTCAATTCCTATTCATACAACAGTGGTCAATCCAATTCCATTTTATTCTGATAGTCAGTTAAATCACCTTTCACCAACATAGCAATTTACAAAATAAAATTAACAAACTTACCAGCATTATCAGAAGACACGGTAAACTTCTGCAGATAATAAGGAAGCAGAGGGAGGTTATTGGACAATCTCTTGCTATTCACCGGTATCTCTTCCACTACATCATCTGAACTGCTAGGGTCGTAAGGAGCGAGGAACGGGGAGGGATAGAAGGCAGGTGAATAGACCACGGCCTTGTAATACTCGTCCCAGAATTTTATAGGCAGTGATGATATTCTGAAAAAAGTGTTAAGTGATTATCTTTGAGAAGAAATCAATTTTAGCGTGCATAATAAAAATGTACTTCAAAGTTGTGTGTGTATTTGTTTATACCAAAACCATGATATTAAAAAAATCGGGTTCGTGAGTTTAACATGTAAAGAAATAAAGAAAAACTGTTTTTATAGTGTAGTTACATTAGATACCCATACTTTCTTGTTATGTAACAAAACTAAGACATGCTGTTAGACGGTTTTCATGAAAAATATCTTACAAGTAAAAGTATCTTACCTCTCACAAAGCACACTGCCATCATCATTCTGAAGCTTCAACAACACTTCCATTAGATTCAACAAAGCTTGTGGGAACCCTTTGGTCACCTTGCCCAAGGTCACCAAACTGGCTAGCACTTCCGAAGTCTCAATACTAACAGTCACTATATCTTCATTCTTTGCTACTTCCGTCAAAACGTTGAGGAAATCTCGTTGTAGGATGGTCAGGACCCTTTGAACCACATAGGAGATGATTGGAAGGATCTTGACGTGAGGTCCTGGTTTCTCAATGACCTTACTTTCAACTTGGTCAAGATTATTCTGGATTGCTTTTAGCTTTTCGCCGTCCGGCACATCTAAAGCCAATGTCATATCTGTTACAGCATAGTTCTCTGCTGAGAGTCTATGCAGTTGTTTTGAAATTGGCTGATTGAGGTCTAAAGATATTTTATTGTAGATCCTAGATCTTTCAATACAAGCGTCATATTCTGTCTGGTTATCCAATAACTTTGGCTGGCCGTATGATTTGCGGAGTTTCTTACTCAACTTTGTGTACTCTGTATTATCTTCTTCAATAGACATTGCAATTACCGCTGAAGATTCATTGAATCGTCTGAGCACATTTTCACGACCGGTCAATTTTAGTAAAGGGAGCATCAAATGTTTCTGCAGCCACTTACTATGTGCGTACAGAAGAGGAACAATATCATCTCTTAACACTTTGCGCCGACTAGCTTCGTTGTTCTCTGCAAAGATCTGTTCGTGAGCCGTCCTAAAGAACCTCTCTCTCCAACTCAGAAGTTGGAACATATGACAAGCTGTTTCGTCATCTAAGTTACTTCTGTTTATGCCTATCGAGATGTACTCATCAATAATAGCGAGATATCTCTGACAGAACTTCAATATAGGGTATTCTGGAAAATCGTCCGTTAATTTACCTTCTATAACAGCGTTAGAATAATTAGCAACTGTAAATATACCCTCGGGGGCGGAGATCTTCATATAGTAAGTAATTAGATTATTGTATAACGTTAATGCTTCTCTATTACCCATACGTATTTCCCGATCTTCCAAGCTGTATAATTCTGGATAGTACTTTTTGTATGCCTGTAACTCTCCGTAGAACTTGTACATTTCAAAGCATATATCATTCATTGTCTCGACGTACTCTGCGTCAGTTCCGCGGCATTGTTTCTTCAAAATATTGTTGATGACGCCGTATGTAGAAGTAAAATAAGTTGGGTGCACTCTTTGGTATACTGAGTATAAGCCAAACATGACGTGTAGGGGTGATTCTATTGTGGAATTCTTAGTTTCTTGTACAGCAATATAGCAGAGTTGTTTAGCGATTTCAACTGGAGTGTTTCTACAGAAACCTTTTACGCTAGTAGTGTGGAATGTATCTGCGTGTACGATGGCTGTATCCCCTAATTTCTCTCCATTTACTTCTTCTTCCAGGGCCTTCAACATGGAGTTTTTCATTTCGGCGAGTGAGGCGTTCACGTTTGACGCGAAATCGGCGCCGCATCGTGGTTTGATGTATACGTCAGAGAAACTGCTGACGATGGCTGTGGTCGCTGAAATACCACGGAGTAACTGTTGCCATGTCAAGTGAGCTGCTTGTAACAGATGGGAAATGGTTGGACGGTCGAGACCTGGGGAGAGAAAATCATTAATCAAATTACGAACTAAACAATATTAAAAATGGTTTTGCAACTAAAATCAATATTATTTATTTATTTATATATGCTTTATTGTACACATTTATGTAGTTTAAAACAAACAATTTAAAAAAAAAATTCTTTAAACCCAATTCAAGTAAATATGCGTACAATGGGCGGTCTTATCACACAATGGTGATTTCTTCCAGACAACCTTTTGATGGAAATATTTGTAAGAAACCAGATAAGGGGTACGTGTACAATAAAATAAAAAAAAGACAAAATAAAAAAGCCTACAATACAACCTACAATACATATAATATACTAGCAACATATAAAAAGAAATACATAAATAATATACAAACCTAAATATTAATACATACCTTCAACAAATGACTGCATTAGCTCATGACATTTAATGCACAAGTCATGGTATTTAGTAGGCAGTCCACAGGAAGACAGCAGAGCAGTCAAATCCAATAAGTTCTCAGTTTCAGACACATACGAATTCTGTAACTCATCTGGTCTTAGAAGAGATATCTCTACACCTCGGTTCCTCATAGCCCTTGAAATCTCCCCATACTTCGGATCCATGGTGAAAAACACTCGGAAATTCGGATGAGGTTTTATTTCGCTAAACTCTCCTCTTTCGGGAATGCTTAGTACTCCATTCGGTTCTAATAAACCGTTGAGTCTGTCAAGAACGGCTGCAGATGTAAGATTTACATTGTCAAGGAGTAACCATGAACCTTCGATCATAGTTTTCACAAGCAAAGAGTCCACGAACTCGAACTTTCCACCAGCATTTACTGATGATGCCTGTGACACTTTGTTCTGCAGTTTCTTCAAACTATTCACGATGTCATGTAATCTCTTGAGAACTTGATCTTGACGTTCATTGTTTTGTATCAATTTCTCACAATGGGCGATAAGAAACTCAATCTTCTGGTTGAACTTCGCTGTATTGTCCTCTGATATTTCATTACTAGTGTTCTTGTTTAGCTTTTGGTACTCATGTAGTTCAGTAAGTAAGCGATTGTTTTTCCATTCAAAAGCTCTTTGCATGATCCACATGTTTCTAATCGTTTGTAACGTAAGAGTCTCAATTTTTTCGAATAAATTCTCCAAATTTCTATTAAAATCGACTTGTTCGAAACCACCGAGCAGGTCAGAAACGTCCATTGCCGATGTCACTGGTATAACTTGCAGTTCATTCCCTGTCAAGTCTGCTAATACTTGCACAATACTACTTTTGCCTGTGGCTGTAGGTCCAACTAAAATTGTCAACCAATTCATCTTGATACTTTGGGCCACCGCTTTCAAAGTAGGCAGTTGACTTCGAAGCACAAGCAAATTCGTGTCAAAAGATCGACGGTTTTTGAACTCTTTTTGATCTTTTCTGTTTAAAACAACGTCTCCAAATACTACGCTTGGAAGGCTAACATAGAACTGTGGCGTGGGATCACTTCTCGGGTAGTCAGGAAGGAATATTTTATCGTAGGCTTCGATCATTTTTTCTTTATCTTCTTGAGTTCTCATACGGTTCACGTAGAGCATGTCAACGAATTTTCCCGGGGACAGGATATCTCGTTCTTTCTCGTCTAATATAATGGCCTCGCACCACCGCTGTATGTCTCTCAAGTTCATTTCCCAAGGAGCTCCTCTGTGGCCCCACGATTGAATCTCTGTAACTTCATGAGCTACTTTGCAATTAAATTCTACTATCTTGTGTAGAATATCTTTAGGTATAGATGAGTACTGTGACTCTACGATGTATATTAAATCTTCTTTAGTCAACGTATCGATGTAAACTTGAGTAAATCGGTTCAAGAAGGAGACGGGTAGACCTCTGCGCGCTCCCCCTTGCTTCAAAGGATTTTGGCAGGCGAATAGTCTGGTTTGATCTTTGACCTTGAAGGTTCTACCCAATTCAGGAATAAATACTTCACCTCTGTGATCCAGGCAAGCATTCAGACCTTCGAGGACAGGCTGTGGAGCTAAATTCAACTCGTCTAAAAGAATCCAGTCACCATTTTGCAGCGCGCTCAAGAAAGCGCCTTCTTTGAACATGAAAGACCCATCCTCTGTTGGGAGATCCGTTCCGAATAAGTCTGTAATATCCTGTAAAGAAATTAAAGTTTAAATATGAACAGTCTAGTCAAAAATAAAGAAAAGAAATTTGATCTTAGAAATACTTACAGTTTGGTCACTCAAATTGATCCGAACCACTTTATGTCCAGAGGATTTTGCAAGTGCAGTCACTAAGCTGGTCTTGCCAACTCCAGGGTTTCCTTCTAGAAGTATGGCTTTATTCAGCTGCAGTCCACGTAACAGTCTCAAAGTATTGGCACCAGTTGTTGGAGCCGTGAACGTGAAGTTTTGTTCTCCCTCAGTATTTCCTTGTCCAACTTCAATATAAAATGGCTTGATCCCGAACTTTTCGGGACCACTTTCTGCGACGAAGTTGGTCTGTCTATTACTCAACATTTCTCGCAGACCTTCCATGTATTCACTTCCACTTGATTTAATTTGTTCCAATAACAGATTGATGGCATTCTTTCGAAGTAAAACTAGTGTTTCGGAGTCAATGTGGCCTGTTAACGCTGTTCCGAAACAATCCAAGAACGTCATACAAGCGCCATGGACGTACGCTTCTGGAGTGTCCAAAAGGCCTTTTGCAACTGTTGTATTAATGAAATTGACCCATGACAATAAATCGCGGATACTGAATGGGAATTTGTTGGTTACTTCAGAGTTCTTCAACCAATCGGTGAAGTTTAAGATAGAAGTACCGATACCTGAGCTACCATCTTCTTGATTGCCAAGGGACACTCCTTTATGGACGCTCTTTTCGAGGACTTTCAACAAGTCTTCCCTGGATGTGACGCTGTCGCACCAAATTTCGGTAAATCGGTTACGAAGAGCGGGTGACAGCTCTTTCTTACCGAAATCTCCTCCAGGATTCATAGTTCCGATAAAATGGAAGTTCTTATTCGCTGTGATGACAACGATGTCAGAATTGTTCTCCATGCCTCGTTCAGCGAGCACTAACTGCCTTTCAGGCTCCAGTAATGAGTTCATTCTCTCCAAAACACTATCATCAGCTAGGGATATTTCGTCAGCTAGGAACATGTTTCCTGTCTCCATAGCCTTAATTAATGGTCCATCGACCCATTCAAACAATCTACCATCGTTTTGGTACTGTCGTACAGGACGGAGGCCTCCTAGGAAATCTGAGCTTTCTGTGTGCATGTGACAATTAACTGAGAGCAACTGACGTTTTTTGAGAGCTGCCAGGACTTGGCATATGGTTGTCTTTCCACAACCAGTTTCACCAACCAGCAGGACCGGCTCATCGAAACTGAAAGATTTTGCTATCAGGACTGCAAGTCTTCTCATATTGTACGTCCAGACAACGTGAGAGAACTCTTCAAGTTGATTATTCAGAATAGTCTCCAAGATTGACTTGGTAACGGGAGATGTTACCGGGTGTAGAGTAAACAGATTGTCAGGGTTGACCTTCCTTTTAATATGTTTCTCTATAACTTCCTCTATAATCGATCTCTCGTCTGTCTGACGTACTTTTCCAGCTAAGATGAGGTACCCTTCGTCAGCTATGTGTTGGTCCCAATCGTAAAATTTATCGTCAGTCAAAGATTCCTTTGAGGCACACTTGTATCGTTGGCCCCATCGGAACAAGTCTCTCAGTGTGATGAATCCATCTTTGCCCTGAACGGCTGCGGAACCTCGACGCCTAATTTGAAGGTCCGCCATAACCGCTATCATTTTCTTACTATAAGCTGGAGGAACATGACATCTTTGGTGCAGTATAGTTTCCAATTCTTTCTTTGGTATCTCATCGAAGTGTAACTCTACAAATCTATTTCTAAACGCCCTGGACAGCATTTTACGACCTCCATACAAGCCTGGAGGATTTTGGGTAGCGAATAACATGAAATTAGGATCCGCTTTAACGACCTGTTGAGTTTCTGGTATGAATAATTCTCTATTGTCATCTAAGACTCGATTTAGAGCTTCTAAAACGTCACTTGGAGCTAAATTGAGCTCGTCTAGGATAATCCAATATCCTTTCCTCATGGCTTCGACTAGAACGCCTTCTTTGAATACTAGTTTGCCATTGGAGTCTGTAGCGTAAGATCCTATATACTCTTGAAGGTCAGTATGTTCGTGGTTATTTATTCTGACGCAATAATTTCCGGATGCTTTAGCTATGTATGTGATGAGGGACGTTTTGCCTACGGAGGTGTCTCCTTGCAGCAATATGGGTAATCGACCAAGGGAAATAATTCGAGCTATATCGCGAAGGTTCTTTCTAACTGTTGGAGTAAGGATATATCCTTCTGGGATAGCTATTTCTAATTTGCCCTGAGGGATCCAATGACCTTCGAAGAGCAAATAATTTTGACCTTGGACTTGTGGCTCGGGAATGAGTTGGTTGGTAACTGATTTGACATTCTTTTTACCGATGACAGCCCTGAGAAAAAACATAGAATTAAAATACATTGAATTTCATATTATATTTTCGTGGGTACAAAAAAAATTACATAGTTACATACTTGGCAATCATAGCTTCTACTTTCGGATGTGACGAACTGTCCAACTGGGTAAGGAAAGATAAGCAGAATGCTTCGTAAAGAGATCTGGATACCGTTCCACATCTTGCTTTGGCTGCAGCCGTTAGAGCTCTGCATAATGTCCTAAGAGAATAGTGTGGAGTATTGCCTGAAAGAGAAAAGAAAATTAGTAAGTAGAAGAATTTTTTTGACCATTTATTTATTATCATTTGTTAAACTCCTTACCTGATCCATCCACAAGGCTCAATTTAGCTTCCTTCTTAATACTGGCGTAGAAAGTGTATATAGCTTCCAAAACTCCACCACCTAGATTCATGTGGTACAAATAATCACCAATGAGCAGCATCAAGTCATTCCGCTCATTCAACTCATCGATAAAGAACTCTGTAAAACGGTTTCTAAGACCGGCAGGTAAATCCTTTTTGCCAACATCAGTAGCAGGGTTCATACAAGCGAACAGAGTGAAGTTAGGATGCCGCTTTATGGGCACCTTATCCCCCTTTTCCAACAAATCTATCGTCTCATTTTTGTCTTCCAATAACCCAGCTAAGCATTCCAAAATTTCCGCAGAAGCCAAATTGATTTCGTCCAGCAAAACCCAATGGCCTTCTTGCATTGCTTTGACAAGCGACCCTTCGATAAAAGCGAAGGTCAACTTCGATGCTGCCTTAATTTGCTGCTCCAATTTCTGCAGCTTTACGCCAAGAGCTACCCATTCATTCAACTTATCAGACTTTTCTATCGTCAGCCTGCCAACCGCAGCTTTTTGGCTCTGTTTCATCAACGCCAGTAAAGCGGTCCAATTTTCTGTCTCATAACAAGTTTCGATGTGACCCAAAAACTTCTTGTTTTTGTCAACATTATAGTAATTACGGAAGAGCTCCTCAAAATGGAGCCTTATAGGCCGGATTACGTATTTTAGGTCGACGGGTTTGTAGCCTCCAAGTAAGTCTGCCGAGTCTGATTGCTGGTTCATGTTTATGACTACAAGTTTGTTCCCTGTTTGTCTCGCTATGTATTGCACTGAAGAAGTTTTACCAGTACCCGTCTCACCAACAAGCAGGACAGGTTCATTGGACGTCACGCAACAAGCGATTCGCTCCAGCAAGCAAGCTGACTGTCGTGTAAACGAAAACACAGTCTGTTTAGTATCAAAATCTATTGTTTCTAAGCTCTTCTCTACTCTTGGCACCTTCGACCTGCCCACTTCTAAGAAATTCGCAGTAAGTGATACATTTGGCTTGTAATGTTTGCAGTAGAATTCCGATTTTGCTTCCACTATTCCGAGGCACAGGCCAATTTTCTTGGACAATTCTAGTCTGTGTTCAGGTGAAGATACGGAACAGGTGAAAATATCTAAAGCATCCTGCAGGACTTTGAGTGCTGACTCAGGACTGGACACATCGAAGCCGACTACAGCTCTAGAGCACCACTTCAGCAAGTCTCTTGTCGATATCAGTCTTGACCCTCGCAATAGAATTAAATTCTTTTCTTTATCGCTATCCACTACTTCAGTAGTTTGAAGGGATGTGTCATGACTGCCTACTGAGAACATCATGAATACTTCGATCATTCTAGAACATATCGTTGTAAGAGCCGGGTACAGAGCTTGTATTATCTCTGCGAGTTCAGACCGTGATAAGGGTTCAACATTAATTTGTGTCAAATGCTTTTGAAGCAATGTACTAGAGTTGGACATTTTCTTTTGGAACCCATAATTAGTTGTCAAAGTTCTAAAACAAAAGACATGTGATAAAATAATGAAAATAAACTTTAAACCTATAACTGTAGGGATTAGTTTGTCATCTTACCGTTGTGTGACGAATAGTTGAAACCCTGGAGTTACTGGCAATGAATCTCGATAGCCAGGTACGCATAGTGCGTTTCTTTCTAGAAGGGAACTGAGGGTCGATGCTACATCTAATGCTGCGCAGTCTATGTCCTCTAAGAGGAGCCAGTGTCCATTTTGTACGGCCTAAAATAAACATGAAAATAGTTAAAGTAACCAGCATTCTGTAATTTTGCATCACGTTTTCGATGCAGGCTAAATAAATACGATATTGGGTAATGGAAATCCGTACATAAGTACTCGTATTTACACTAATTCCACGCACACATCTGTTTAAACAATTTATTTAAAAATTGTAGACACAATAAGAATGTTCATTACGAGCATGAATAAATGAATTATATTATCAGACCTACTTATGAAACACGTGACATGATATAGGTATTGAGTTTTAGCACTTTTATACCGTAACTGGCAAGGAGAGAAGATAATCGCATAAAAAATAAAATAATTTACAATAAACACAGGTTCACGCATCTGGACGTAACATTACGAGAAAGACAACATGAAGAATCACTATATATACCTAATATAAGTAGTATAAAACAAAGTCGCTATCCGCCGTCTGTTTGTCTCTATGTATGCTTAGATCTTTAAAACTACGCCACAGATTTTGATGCGGTTTCTTTTAATAGATAGAGTAATTCTTAAGGAACGTTTATATGTGTAATACATGCATATTCCACCCGTGCGAAGCGGGGCGGGTCGCTGGTAAATAATAAATAAATTGCCAAAAAGTCACCTACCTCAGTCAAAACGCCAGGTCTCCACACAAATTCTCCAGGAATGTCAGTACATTGATGTGATCCTAATAACATACGGGAGTCCGTCTGGTCTCCGAGCTGCACCTTCTTGAAGGCCACACCCTTGCGGCCTGTGATAGCAGCCAAATGTTCTACGAGGGAAGTCTTTCCTGATCCTACCGGGCCCATAAGACTTAGGGCTTGCCCTATGAAGAAAAATATTTATGTTAACGTAAAAGTTTTTTTTTTTCATTTTTATGCAGCGGAATGTCTTATTCATCTCGTAGTGTCACTTCATTGCTGAAAAATTGTCGTTAGCTTTATTTTGTAATATTTATTTAACGCCATAATAATTTCTATTCAAAGTTTATTATTCCGCTTTTTCTCCACTTTTGCGTGTCCACAAAAATAAGTTTTATCGTCTTTATTATTGCTAAGGAATTTGTCATGACAAACATACCTATTATACGAAAGTATATTTGTAAAAACCAAAACGTTATAAGGATCACCAAGAAAAATATTAACCCCTTTATAAAAAATAGCTATAAAATCAAATATGACCTGAGGAGGATCTTTTAAGTAATATCTTCACCATTTATAAGAAAATAATTTATATTACAACTCCTTACCTGAAGCAACGGCCAAAGCTAAACTTCTGAGATTATTGACTGTAGATTTCACCGGAACCAGATTGCCTTTCTGGACATTATCCTTTTCAAAAATAGGTAACAGTATGCCATCAATATTAACCACATTGGGGCTTAGATCATCTTTCACTATTTCATCCATTGTATGAACGGGGTCCATTATACCTTTTTCTAATATTTCATGACACTCATATTCTTGTACTAACATTTTAACTGAGAATACCATTTGCTGTGTGTCTGTCATGTTTGCTAGGATTGCCATGCATTCCCGTATCATCCTGGTTAAAAATTAATCGGTTAGCAAAACTTTAACTCAGAATAAATTGTTAAGTGAGGTGGATGAAATGATAGTTGAAAAAGGTTTCCTTGACAATTTTTTGATTGCAGTATAGAGTCAAAATAAGACAGAAAACAGGCTTTTATCGCTACTGGATCTTATAACAACATAACATAAATAGGTACTGAAATTGCCATTACTTTCAAATTCCACTGGTCACTTACAAAAAATAAATTTGTTACAAAATGAAACGGTACTAAAAATTTTTATCTTAACAGTCTATTATCAAAATTATATAGAAAAACTTACCATCGCACATCCGCCCGTCCATGGTTACCATATGTCCCAACAAACTTTGTCCAGTCCCATTTTACGGACATTTCATTTGGTAATTTCTTAAGCAATGTATAGCAGCATATAATGATTTGCTTTTCAGCAATTTTTTGTCCGCAGTCAAGCAATCTTCGCTTCTTGGGAGCCACATTGTAAGAGTCTTCATGGTGGCAAAACACTTCAAATGGAGCTACAGGATTGACTTCAAAATATTTTAATGCATATCTAAAAGAAAGAATATTTAAGTTTTCATTTTAATTCTAATTAAAATATTTTTTTACCTACCAAAACATAGAAAAAAATTACTTTGTGTTAAAACTTTTCCTTCAACAAAGAGGTTCCATGCATTTTCAATAGTATTAACAACCAGGGATGAACAAAGCCAAGTATAGATATTGATTTTACAATTCTCTACTGCTCATAGTCTAAATATTTAATCATCAACAGGCTCGCCTCAAGCCATATCGGGGTTAATAACATTACACAACAACTGCATCGAATTTTGCATCTTTAATGACTGATATTGTTGTCTGTCTTGTGGATTTGACTCAGAAAATAGGCAAAGCATTACTGTTTTTTTTTTAATTTTAGTGCTAGTTGTTATTAGGCCTCCGGTAACCTCACGCACTAGACGAAACACAACGCAAGAGTTGTTTCATGTCGGTCTTTTTATGAGGCCGTGGTATCACTCCGGTCGAGCTTTCGCACACTTACTTTGTACATGTGAACCTCAGTCTACCCTTTCAAGATTACAATGGCATGATATTGTGTAGTATATTTATAAAAAAAAACATATATTTCATTACTTACTGTAGAATGTCAGGATGATCACTCAACGCAGCTAGTATTATTGAATATTCTAAGTGACAGTTCTTTTCCGAGTCACTACATGTTTCGTAATTAGTGTTAGAAAATACAGGTTTTAGCGGTATCTTCGCAGATACCAATGCAAGAAGTATACTAGATAAGTATTTCTTGAACAGTTTTGCATCATCGATTTTGAGAATATATTCTGACAGCTGTGTGACAGCATTTTTAATATCAAAAGTGTTGGAATTTATTGATTCCTGGAAGATAAAAATAATTTATACAGTTTCAGTTCAGAAATAAATGGTTTCTGATTTGAATGTCTAAAATTCTAAATTAAAATAAGTGATGTATGATGTGAGTAGAAGAATTTTGGAATCACTTTTGTGTTAAATATGGTAGCTTTTTTTACAGCCTTCTAATGAAGAAAACAAAATATTTATTCAAGACATTCAGTGATACTGTACAGGTCCATTAAAAAACGTGACAAAAACTGCATCACAGATTGTAAACACATTATACAAACAATGAATTTACACCTACATGATATCAAGGCTATTTTATTATGTCATCACTTTTTAAATAGATACTCTTGTCATAAAATACATTAAGAAGAGGATATTTAACAGTATGGAAAGAATTTTTCACTAATTTAATTTTATGTTTTTGTAAATGAGTAATATGGACTATAATGTAATTCTAATTATTACTTATTAAGACTTTGAATTTTATATAATGTAAATAGTGAACTAACTTATATTTTGTGCTATATTAAAACTCATTATGACAAAAGTTGATTGAGACAAATAATAAAATTAGAAAATCATGATAAATGAAATGAAAATTCTAAAGATGGAAATTTGAAAAAAAAAAACTTTTTTATTTTATTAACAGTTTATTATATTCATGTATTTACTGAAATATATTCATACAAGATTGTGGATATTATATAAACATTAAATATAATATTGAGAAATAATTGGAAAATGTGCAATTAATTTTGATACAAAGATTTAGTATGTATAGTCTGTCTATAGTTATAGATATAATGGAGAGTGGCCACACCCTCATACTCAAGGGCCCTTTGTCTCTCGAATTGTCTAGGGTGCAGATATATGATATCTTTTTGAAATTTTCGCAATGTGGTGAAAGAAATAATTTTATAATAACAAAAATATTTTTTAATACTATCAAGACATGTTTCAGGTGACTTATAGATATAGAATAAGGTGTATATACTTTCGTTATCATTTGTTGTGGAGTTTAACAATATAATTACAGTAAAAACAATTATTTCAGTACTAACCTGAAGTTCCTCGCACAATTTTGTTAATTCAGGGGTTTTTGTTTCAGCGCCTACCGCTTTGAGTGCCATCAACATATTGCACACCGACATTTTAACATTCCGGTAAACAAAAAATAAAAGGTTTAAGACAAATATTTGCCTAAACAAAAATAAAAACGATTACCGGCCGCGTGTTTTGCATTTACAAAGCAAAGCAACACGTGAATTTTATGTCCATTTTAGCTGTCACGGTGACAGTGACAACCATATGTATTGATTTTGATTTATTGATTTTTTGGTTACTTTTTTAAGTACCTCCTTGCCTATCTTGGAACTGTAGTATTTAAGTTTTAAGTCATCAACAATGATTAATACAAAAGCAAGCTTATTTTATATAGATTTGTAGGTACTCTAAAATACGGAAATGATCAAGTATTGTTGCCGATATTTTTGCCATTCTGCTATGCTGTATGCTATACCATATGTGACAGACACATATAGTTAGGCAGAAGGAGGCAGTTAGGCTTTCTTCATTCAGTCATCTAAGTCCTGTTGCGATTCACTGTACCAAATTAATTATTATTTATGGACTTAATTAAAGTGATTTGGTTTTAGCCAACCTGCATGGTTTGATACTTTTGTAGAATTTTCTGTAAAACAAAAAAAAATAGGAATTCGCGGTTTCATGCGCTGTTCTACTTTTATTGATTGCAGCGTAACGTAACATAAATCGTAATGTTTCATAACCTTCCCTCGATTAATAGACTATCCAACATACAAATTATTTAGGAAATTAGCGCTTAAGCTAAGAGTTTACTTGTTTGTTTGAAGATGGTCATTTTTATTTTATACCACGACGGTGGCAAGAAAAGTACACAGCCCACCTGATGGGAAGGTTTGAAGTTATTAACTTATTATGACCTGTCCACATGCTTGGTGTTTACCACAAATACTAAATATCACAAAAAAAAGTCCTAGATATCGATGTGTAGTGTAGCAAGCTTAAGGATACATGGAAAACTGTTTGCCGAAAAACTAATCGACACCGATGCCAAACACTGCCGAATAAACAAACACATACAAACACCTATCTACATTTTCATGTTTCCTGTTTTTTGTTTGCTCTTGTTTACCAAGCTTGTTCTACTACACAGAATGATCCCATGCCAGCATGTCACACTCGCAGCCAACATAAACCATCTGTGTTGTATATCGCCTTGTGTGTAAGAGTGAGGTTTGCCAGCGACACAATCCTCACTCATTCCTATATTCCACTTTTAAAAAGCCTAGCCGTACTTATAGGCAACTTCTTTGGTGTCGCGGGTGTCTACGGATGACACCGATTGCCTATTGTTACTTTGGTAGGCAATGCCTCAGGCATCAATTAGTTAAGTGATTCGTCTCATTTGCCGCCCTATCTATTATTTATTCCATAAAAAACATACGAGCACAATGTCTAGATAGAAGAATTGGCAAAGCTTTCCAACTTTGATCCACTGGTTCTTTATTATTTCATCTTCAGCGAAGGTTTAAGATGCGTGGGCACCAGTTGTGGGCACTCACCATGCACTCACCAACACCTTTTTTCAAAGTCCTTATCAACAGCCACCAGCAACCTTGCAGGTATACCATAGATATTATTGTTGTCTGTGATCAAAACAGCTGACTGACAGCTTGAGAATGAGAAACGTCAACGACAAGTAGCAACTGTCAGTAATATTTTGAGCGGGACTATTTTTTGCAAAATTACAAACGCAAACTCGTAAATCTATTTATTAGTTTTGATTGATTGACTGAAATCGTGTGATTAAACATGGACAATTCCCAAAGCTCTGACTTTTTATCTGAAAGCACCGACATATTTTGTAATAGCCCTGAAGATTCTGTGATCGTATCCTTTTAAAAGTTTTGTAAACAATATTCTATCAACACATATTTGATGTTTTAACAAGTTTATTTACTTAACTCATATATCAGGTGGACACGGCAAGTTATGAATCTTTGGTTTTGAAAACGAAGGCATCATTTTCAAATAGTAGAATTGAAATAAAGAAATCAACCTTTTCTGTTTACTTTTCGAAACTTATTGACGACTGCGGTATTTGTGTTTCACAGGTTTGTAAATAACTGTATTACTTTTTTAACAAGCCTACTGTATAAAAGATAGAGATTCACTTTAGAGATATCTTCTGTACTTGAATTTTGTTCGGTGTAACTTTCTGGGTGTTCCAGTTTAAGCGCTACATTACTTGCACACTCAAATCGTAAATAACAAGTATGAAACCATTCAAACATGTTATTCTACCTCTTTCGCAGAGTTTGGACCTGATCACACAATTTTTATCCAACACAAACATAAAACAGAACAAGTTAAAAGAGTACATGACTGATGCTATCTGCCTATTACAACTGCTCTCAGATCTAATAAAGCAGGTCATTGAGACTATGTCCATGTCTTGCTGTGCTATGAAAAGTTTTCCAACTGCTACTGGTCGCATCATCATGTTGGTCTTCTCTCATTGTAAGGATAGGTAAGAGATTTTTTTTAATTTCAAGTCTGGTTGCCATATGGAAGGTAGGTAGTTCAGGTGTTATACCTTTGACAAGCATAGTATTTGATTTTTTTTCATATTTTTTGCATTGACTACTATCTTGCCTCGTGGTAAGTGTGAGCGGTAAATTTATATCTGAACTGTTCAATCCTCAAGCTGTCACCGGTAACTGCTCTTCACTTACTCCATTATATACCTTATTTCTGATGTTTAGAGACTACTTTTGTGTGAATGAATTTTGGGTATCGACATATGAAGGTCTATTATCTTAGTATGGATTCTAAAATGTAGTTCGGTTAATATTTATTCACTGATCTTTTGGTGTCACTCTGCAGCACTTTTAAATAGTGTGACAACAAAAATTTGGTGTACCGTTGCAAGTATGATACACCAACTTTTTGGCTTAGGAACCTGGAGTAGACATATGCAGAAGCAGGTATAAGACATGTTTATTTATGGAGTCAATACTGTAAAATTAACATTCAAATTAAATTATTTTTTGTTAATAAACCTTTCATGTAATTTGTCCTACTTATCTTAATTTAATTTTGATTTTCTGCTGTTATCTAAATTATAATATGATCTACTTGAATGTTTTCAGTGAATCCATCTATGGCAGTCAATTAAATTGTGTAGAGAAACAACTGAAGGATTTGTTTAGAACTTGCCATGAACTACAACTGACATATTTGATGGTCTTTGAAAAACATTTCATATTTGATTTAACTGAGAAAGAAGAAAAGGATATCCTTATTGAAGGTAAGATACGATTCCATGTATTATAAACACATGAAATATGGTTTCGATCTAAAATGAACCCAATGACTACAACTCAAATTTCATAATTGGAGACAAATAAGAATCAAGTATCAATATGAAACAATACTCTTATTTATTCGCTTAGATTAGATTAGTTAGCTTTTCACTTTCTCTCATCTTTGTTTTACTCACTCATTTATCAAGGTTTGATTACTGGGTCAAGAAAGAGTTTGGATTTCTAGGTAAATGGTTCTTTTCCCCCACCTTCATTGTAGGCCTTTAAAGACTTAGGGCCGATTTTTCAATCATCAGTTAATTCTTGACTGTATAATAAAATCGATATTTGACTGTGTTTAGTATGGAAGAATTGTCAAATATTCAAAGTTATTCCTCTAATAAAATTTAACTGAGCATTGAAAAATCGGTCCTTAATCCTTTGAGTACCGTCATTATAGACACAATTAAAGAACAATAGGTTGCGGTCACCGGTGTCCTCGCGGTATTTGACAGTTTAAAGAGAAATATTAGGCCTCATGTTTGTATCTTTCTATTAACATTTGTCATATTTTCAATTCCAGCTTTAGACATCAATTTAAAAATAGGTGAAATAGTAGAAAGTCTGGATGTGAAGACTATGGCAGAACAGTGGAAGGCATACACAGTGATATGTGATAAATATTCCAACTGTCTAATGGATAAGAAGATCTATAGTAACTGTAGTAAGGTTCTAACTGCCATGGTTGCTAATAACATGAAAATAGCATTGGAGGTTGGTTTGTTGACATTGTTGTTACATTTTAGTCTACCAATTAGGTAGTTTCCTGGGTAACAAAGATTTTTTTATTACAATAATATTGGTATAGATGGCGCTGTGTGTATTGGTATATGTCACATAGGCTACTTTTTATCCTTTTGTGACGTGGGCGAAGCCGCGGGTAATAGCTAGTCTAGATTATAAATAAACTACAATAGTCAACTAGGAGAAAAGCCGAAGGCATCAAGTCCAACAAAAATAATAATACTACAATCCTTTTAATTTCAGGAAAGTCAAGAAGAGAAAGTAGTGATAAGGTCCCTGAAAGTGAGCAGTTTCGTGTTGAAGATATTGTTAAGAGTGTGCAATACTTTCAGGCACGCAGTCATGAAAGATTATACTCCTATTGTCGAACTTTTACTGTATATTCATGTGTAAGTAACTCTTTATTTATTTCGTTTAATCTTTACCTACCTGTCCCCTAAATAAGTATCGATAGCATTTCCGAAAAACACCACCTTTTAATCCCCAAAGGAGCAAGCAGAGGTGCACTTACAAATTACATCTACTTTCCACTAGTTATACATATTATTATGAGTCTCTTGTAATAGGGGGTCATCCTATTGCCATGTATTGGACAGAATCCCAGACACCATGCTATTGGGTAACGAAAAACTGAAAGAACTCAAATAGTACTTTAAATACTTCTTAAACATATAACATCAGGCCTTTTTATCTCCGAAGAGGTAGGCAGAGGTGCACATTACGCCAGTTAATGCCACTGTGCCAATGTTTTGCAGTGCAGTGCAATACGCGGTCGAGTACGGACGTGTCATTTTTATTTCTACGCAAACTGCGCGGCTCCTGCCGCTGCACGTTATTATTCGCTATGAGTTCGCATCAACTCATAGCCAACGAACTGTTGGCATTCATACAACATGCCATAGATACCATGGACGAAGTGAGCATTATGCAGATCTGCAAATCCAACTTCAAAGAAGATGAGATTAGCAAGGGCAAGCAGCTCATTTTCCAATCACTGGGGAAGCTCGACCAGATGCCGACTCGAAGAAGGGATGGAACTGAGAAAAGCATTCAGGACATCATCTCGATATTAAAGGTGACCGATCCAGACGACGTGCCAACATTCGTGGCGAAGGAGCTGCACAGGCTCCCTCCCGTGACATTC